ATTTACAGTATGGTTTAGAACGTGGTCGCCAAGCTAAATTCGATAAATACTACGATTAATATAATATGATCGTTTTTCAACCCACTGCAAAAAAATTGAACCTTTGATTAATTATAGCGAAGTAATACCACCAAATATGACAGGGGACATTTTTTTGGGACACCCTGTATATACCTGGGGCCATTTGCTGTTACGCCATGCAAGGTGAAACGTTGAATTTTTTTTTAACTTTAAGGCTGATAAATGATAGGGATATGGTTTCCGTAACAATAATAACAAACCAAAACAACGATATGCTCTAAAAACACTGTGCTTAAAATTTTCCAGGTTAACTTAGAAATATACCTATTTGGGTTAAATCAACAAGGACGTTCTCCCAATTGGTACCTGACCAAGGCCTTATGTGACATAACAACATGTAATAAATTTTGTAACACGCAATTAAATTGTCGTCAAATGACTGGCTGATTATGATCACGTGATATCAAAAAGTACCATTTTCATGATCAATGGAACGTTCCATCCAGTTAGCTGAAACCTGAAATCAAAACTGAAACCAAGACCCTGGGTCCAGCCGTGCATTTTTGTACTATATATATATATATATATATATATATATATATATATATATATATATATATATATATATATATATATATATATATATATATTGCCCTATTGCACTGGTTTGGTCTTCATTAAATTCAAATCTTATAATCGTATACAGTAGTCATCGTAGCTCATATAACCTAATTTTCCCGATGGAATTAAATTTAAACCCGTAATTATTGCGAAGGAAGTAAAAATAGAAATTTGTCACAGTGAGTTAAATATACGCCATTATTATATTAAGTCTGCATTAAAACATTTTTTGGGAGTTGTTTGTTGGATTTTTTATAAATTTTGAGCATTGTGCATGTAATTGTTTCGTACATTTTTTCAATAAAGTTCAATAACAGTTATCTATTTTGGTGCCAGAAAAAACACATACTGAATGTTTTCATTGGTGTTAATATTTTCACTCGGTGAAAGATGATCGCCTCGTGGAACAGAAAATTCCATCTTTCACTTCATGAATATACATACTTTCATCATCATGTACTTGGTACTTACTACTCATATAAAACATTATTCGTATACGTATATATTTACAACCTATGAAGATTCCAGAGGACTGTATGTTGATAGTTTTGACGAATTATAAGTTTTGAAGTTTATTTTTCAGTGTGAAGCTCCTAACGTTAAGGTAGAGCGTTCATGATGTAATAACTTTGTCACGTATACGTGTTAGCGATGTTACAAAGTTCAGTTGAAAATTTTCCCACAAAACCGCAAGTTTATTTCCTGGCGGTGTTATAATTACATGAATAATGAGATGCGCAGAACGCACTATTTGGCCTATACCTGCATCGGTAAGCCGTTATAAATCATTCATCGTATTACAATAAATTTCTTGTCTTGTTAGTATGTGTTAGTGATGTGGCAAAGTTGAAGGCTTGCATCACAAGTATTTATATAGTCGTATAAAATGACTATGTTGATTGTTGAGCAGCCCTGTGTCTGTGATCATACAGGTTTTATAGTGTAAACCTACTTTAAGCTGTAAAGCAAATAGTGCAAACTTTAAACCTTCATATATAGACCTATGGCTACGGGAAACTTACTGTTTTCCATTCATGTTCATGCTTAGTTTCACTACTGAGAATCAAAGTTTCATAAATTCATAAAATATACATGTATTTATATAGGTTAACTTGTTCAGGAAAGTCAATATTGTTATCAATATCATATTTTTATTATATATTATATAATATATATAAATTTAAAAAGAAATAAAATCCATGGCCTTTAACTTCTTTATAAAAATTATCATTTCATGAAGTTTAAATATTTACATCGGTCAATTGAAGACTAGTTTTAAAATGGAGCATCTTTCAGTTTTCATGTCATTTGGTTGGCTATTAAGAATTTTATAAAATGCACATGTTTTCACTTTAGTCACTTTAAATGAACAGCGGATCTTAGCAAAACTAAGTTCTTTTATTATTCCCTCGAATATTCCAATGTGATCTTTCAATTATATTTATTACTTTAGAGTGCCATTTTTGCGGATGGAATATACAGCGTATATATACAATAAATAAACATAATATCTGCACATTGTGTGCGCGTGCATGACATGTACAGATTTTGGTACAGATGGCCTATCGGGTGTTCATTCTTGATGACACTGATTATATACTACCATATATTACTCTAAGTTTTGGCCATCTTTCTCGATAGTTTAGGTGTCTTATGGGAGGATATTTCGAAGAAAAGAGTACCTAGATATTTAAGATTTTAAAACCGATTTCTAAAAACGTATCTACATTTCAATGCTCGACCAACATTTCATGCACCAAGTAAAAATCTTTAAAATATTACATATCGTATTATATAATCTTGTCAGTGTAGTTAGTGCCAATATTAACAAAACTTCAGTTGGTGGGGATGCAACTACGTGAAAAATACAAGGAGAAATACGACGTTTCGAGCAAACGTCCCGACGCAGGGTTGAAAGGATCTAATTCGCTCGAAACGTCGAATTTCTCCTTGTCAATTTGTCAGGTAATTGCATCCCTATATATCAACCGAAATTTAGTTATGCCGCATTATGCACTATTCTGGATAGATTGTACGTGTATATATAAATCATTACTGTGAATATACACAGCAGTCGTAAATTATACGTGCAGGTACACGTTTTGGTCCTGTGGCTGTGGGACATTGGAAATTATGTTTGTCATAATAATGAAACCGTCTAGAATTCGGCACTTGGAAAATGGCCACCGTTTTTTTTTTGTAGTTGAAAATATACGCAAGAAGGTCTCATACGTTGGGAAGCTACGGCGCAAAATGAAAACATCAATGTGTTAATTACTGTGGTTAATTTATTTACATTGTTATTGGTACAGGTACATAACATTGAAAAATAATTAGAAAGCAAACTCACCTCCCTGCCTGGGGAGTCCCCGCCACGAGAAAATTGTATTGGAGAGCTAGGAGAAGAGCTTTCAGACGACTCCATGTTGTTGTTGTTCTCGGCTGCAACGAGGAAAAAACACGAGGCTTATAAGTATTATATAGATACAGCTTGTTATTATACTATGATGCCCTAAGCCGCTGTGTATAATCCGTACTGATGTGTAGACAGAAGTCATGGCGAGCAGACATGCTTGCTGCGTGTATGTAACATTAAAATTTGCCGTCAAAACCTGCCTAATGCAGCAGGCGCAATCGTAATATATTATATAACCAGGTGGTTTTCGCGAGCCTTTATTTCGTACACAAACATCAAGATATGCAAATGAATACGGCTAAACATAGCCAGATAAACACAAGCGAATAAATACACAAAAAACGAGGCAATGAGTGTCGGCAAATCAGAGTCTTCTAGCTTATCAGGAGTGAGTTAACCGCATCAAATTTACCACGTGAGCCTTTCCAAGGCTCTAAGCGAACATCACAAAAAACCCATGGCCGTTAGAGGTTCGATTCTCTTTAGACAATCCTCATACTGTGTATTACAGACAGTTAAGATAAACCAATACGATGATGAGTCTTCTATTACATTCAATTATAATACTAGGCCAGTACTATCATATACAAACGTCGCTGTTTACGTATACCCATATACTATTCTCGATCTAGTGTAGTGATCAGTAAAGATAGACAACGTAACGCGGAAGAGATGTTACCACCATTATAGCGATGGAAATCACTGACCTGAACGGTTCTCAACAAGCTTACGAAGAAGCTGATCTCGAAGCGTTGGAGACGGCGAACTCCGATTACTGCTTTCATTATATCGCATATCTTGTTCCCTGAACATGGACCCGATTTCGTTGCGTATATCGCAATACGTTAACGTTCAAAACAAAGTTCTTTTGAATCTCGTCACTACTTGTCTGTCCACGGATACAGTATGTAAACAGAGTTGAGAAGAACAACACGATTGCGTATTTACCACTTCCGGAAAGCCGAACCCATGCAGTGAACCGAAAAAGTCTTCCCGTTCAATGGGCTACAGAATACACAAAAACTCACATATACATTGACGAAAACACACACAGAAACGTCGATGCCAAAGCGTGACCTATACGCTAGACGCGAGCTTTGGCTACGCGTGTGACGCTACCGGTATCCCATGACAGGAATTTAAAATGAAGCTTGAAAAACGCTAGGAACTTCGCAAACAATGAATTCTTTGAGCGGCTCAAGGAAGAGCGAAATATCGGCATGGAAATTCTTTCAAACAGTTAAGTCGTTCCAAGTAGAGCATGTACAATCCTATTGGAGGTTGCGAAGCGTTGTTCAGGCAACAAGGATCATTTCCGCCCACAATTACCAGCACTCTTAATACAAAGACTATAAGTGTTCGTTTTGGCATTAAAAATAAAGCTACAGCTACCTTTATATATAAACGGCGAACTTCGCAAAAGCGTTTCCCTCGCACGATAGATGTTGCTGTCTAAACGTTGATGGTCTCAAGATGGGCTATAAAGGCAAAACATGCTAACCCCCCTATAGGGCAAAAACTAATAATCATAATGTCTGAATATTACAAGTGCGTGGGAGGCGTGAAGTGTAGACGTAGATTTCCAGCGAAGCTGTCTGTAATCTGAATACAATGCCAGATTTGTATTGGTTTTCGAACTAAAAGTGCCCTAGTGTACTGTACAAAGTCAACCTGCTTCGTCTATTGTGAAAATTGTAGTGAATTTTGCCCAAACGGGCAAAGAAAACATTGAGCATCGAACAAAGCAAGTGTCATTAGCTTTATTAGGAAGACGAAACTCGGCCAAATGATGTTGCGTAGGCGTAGTGTCAGCCCACTTTATGACAAAGAACAACAGACGCTGAATGATGTCGAAACACGAAACTCGGCGTAATATGAAAACGCTCTGTCATTTTCTCATTTTGCAATCGATACAAAGCATCCCCCAGGGCATATTGGCAGAATACTCTGGTGAGAACTACTTTGTGCACTCAAGATTCGAGAAGTCAACAAAAAAACAACGCAAGCGGTAATACATCCATCAATTTGCCAATCATATTTCATAATGATTTTGGAATAAAATAGTGATATTATCTTGCTGTTTTGGTGGCTTGCTCAAATCTAAGTGCACAATTAGAGGATGTTAGAGGCTTTGTTCATACTATGTCGTGCTTTGTATTTCAAGAAATAGAATCAGTGTTGGCTCGAAATGTGGATTAGCGCGCTAAGCCACAGAACCTAAGTGTGATTTTCACGCAAACCTAAAAATTGACATTGGCAGTGGCATTTCATTTAGCGACCTTGGGAAGTGAATAAGGTAGAAATATTTAAATACATTTCCAATTTCTGGATTCTTCGGACGGCTTTATAAGTAGATCACAATTACCTGAAAATTTATCAGAAACGCAACTAATGAGGAGATACCGTCCCAACCAATTCTTAGTTACTTTTAGCTATTGATTTATTACTGAAATAATAGGAATTTAATTCAAGCATTTTCTGTGCCAGTGTAGGTTGTGCCAATAATTTGCGATTTTTAATAATTTTATGTCGTGCTAGGCTGGTTCAGTTCAACATTAAAGCCTGCTTTCGTTTAGCCGCGGATGTCGTGACCAAGTGACGTTCATCACATCCGTCATCTTGGCATTGTTACCACGCAACACTGTGGCAACTTGGTATACCATTTCTGCCATTTCAAATTTTGAATTGCAACAAATTTTTACGCCAATCACAATACAGTCTATTTTAAGGTTACAGGATACCCTTAGGCACACGCTCAGGAGATCTACCATTTCTCGACGAATTGTTATCCAATTTCTATCCGATTTTCACCAGATAAATGAAGAATAACATAGTGTTATAAAATATACAAAAAAGAAAGAATTTTTCCGTATACTGCTACAAGTTTACGTTTGCGGTACCTTCGCGCCGCGATCTATGTTAAACGCCGGTTTCACTAAAAACCTGTCTAAAAACTATCATTCAGTTTTTACCCTTCTCGAGGTTGTTCTGAAAAAGTGTGCTCAAATTTTATTTTTATTGTTGCTTTGGGGGTTACTTAGCTAAGGCATATTCTTTTCCGACTTGTGCCCATTTTCCACCAATTTGTCCAAGTGAAAAACAAATCTTGGCAATATGATTGGTCAGCGAAAAAATTCTTGGCAATATGATTGGTCAGCGAAAAAATCAGTTTCTCCTTTTTTCTGTTCGCGCGAGCAAATTTCGCCTAGTGGAAAATGGGCTTTACGTTGCCTGTTTTTATATACGATTCAAAATTAATGTCTCTGAAAATTGACTTTAATGAATTAATTTTCGCGCTTGGAAAATTATAGGAAAGCGTTTCACTTGATAAGTTGTATAATTTGAAAGATTTTATTTTTTGAAATCAGTTTTAAAGTTCTAGGGTATCTGTAATATTAATTATAGATGCAAGCACTCGCAGCGGGCTTGAGAGTTGGTTTTGTGATGCGTGGAAAAGAGCCTGCTGGTGGAGCTACGAAAGCCGAATTAATTACAATTATTCAATAACAATTACTTGTTTCGAAAGGTAATCAATGCCACTACATAACCCGCGAACAGGCATACTCTGGGAACGAGATTGAATTACCTATTTTCAAAAGTAATTAATCCCTGCTGCCCCCCCCTCTGACGCTCATGCCAGCACCTAACCTGCGAACGGGCATACTCTGGGTACGAGATTGTGCTTACCGATGTAGAGGTAAATTAGGTTTCACTTTAATAATCGTCAAAACCAAGACTGGCACATTCAGATAATTGTCAATCTGAGTTTCGCAATGTGAAAGCATGCGCTGAGATAGTGATTTATTTTTTCTCGATGGGAAATAACCGATTGATCCCATTCTCTTCTCGTCAGCAAAGTTAAATGATGCAAGGGTTGTGTGGTGGGTGATCATAAAAATTTTAACATGGTTTATAGAAAATCTTTAAACGATTTCAAACTCTATAATTTGCTACTCCATTTTTCTTCATTCTAGGACATGCATTAAAATGAAAGTAATTTACTCAATTCTGATTGGTTGAGAGAACTACATCATATTCCATACAAGCGTACACGCACAGAAAAGTTTAAATCTCTCAATCAAATTTTATATAAGTACTAAACTACCTCAACAAATGCACAATAAACCATACACAAAACTAAACGTTGTCCATTTAGTCATTTAGTAATTCATAAGTAAGATTGAATTTAAACTTTTCAGAATGAAAAACGCTTAAATGGAAAGCAGTCTTGAGTAGTGAAGACGCATGCAAGGTATACATATATATAAGCTTCAACTTACTATATCCTAATCAGTGCACCGTCTATGAACATGTAAAGTTTCTAAGTCTAAGGTATATGATGTATACTCGAAGAATAAAAAAATAAATGTTTAGTCCAATCTGTATAGTATAATCCTTGTGAATAACAAAGCTTGGAAGTTGCATGGCAGCCTAAAGACAAAGTGTCAGATGTAGAGGAAAATGTCTAGCTTGAGACTATCAGTGAAAATATGTTGAAGAAGGCTGTTTTTATTCAAGTATAGGCTATGTACTATGCCTGTGCCTGTGGATTAAGCTGACATTAATGACTGATGGATTTGTTTTGGTAAAAAGTCACGTACAAAAAAATTCTATTTTTTTCAAGGAACATTATTCATTAATCATTATTTTGCATTGTTGGCATAAAATCTTTTTGGCGTTACTCTTAAAATTACTTTGTTTTAGCTTCATTTCGTAGTTTACACACTTAGCAACCTTTTTAAATTTATCGGGCGGTTGAGAAACACAAAATAATAGTTAAATATTGTCAATTTAAATACAACTATCATCGATGCTGTAAAATTGACGCCATATTTATACAGCAATATAAGCACAAAGTACTGACTACTGAACTTCAGACATCATTTTTTCTTTGGCGTAGCAGCTAAATGTCTCTTCATTTTAGCATTATTTTACAGATAAAGCACTAAACTTACTTTATCAAAATACGCGCGTGTTATGTAACATATACAAACGATTCTCCTATTGGCTATTGCATATATTGAAACAAAAAGCAGCCGGAAGATTATTCCGATCTCAACGTGTTCTGAAATCTGAAGAAACAGCTGTCTTTATAACTGAAAGGTCTATATTACCATTTAGACATGAAAATCAGAGCGCTTATATACTACATACGCGGCCTGATGAAAATAAATATTAAAGAGATCGAAAGTTATTTCAGCATTTAAACAGTATGTTTATATTATAATTTGTAGTTCCGCATTGCAGCTTAATTGATAATAATATCTTAATGATTCACCTTTTTTATGTTGAATTATTTCCCTTTTTACTCAACTTACTGATAAGGTTTGATATTTGACCAGGGCGGGGACTGGTATACGAGGGTAATGCCAGTATTGCGAAATATGGTGGGAAAATATTTTTGTTTCCCACCCTTCCTCTTATTTATATGAGTGGCAATTAATGAACCAAAATCAAGATGATATAACATTTCGATTTGCTTAGCCTTATACTTAGGCTTTTTTACCTTCATAATTTTTAGCTTTCAACACCAACACCAAAACCAAATTACAAAAGGCAAGACTGAACAAACGTTTTACTTATAGGCCTATAATAACATGTGTAATTGAAATAATTTTTCAATTGTTTTACCTTAAAAGCTAATATAGGCTTGTGAAAATAAATATGCCTATAAGGCTATATAACATACTGTATAATATATATACACTTAATTCATGTCTGCTCCCATGGGAAATCGTTAATTTTGCTTTCCCGAGTCTCAATGTCATCCGAGACGAAATCGAAAATAACTATATTTCCCGAGGGAACAGACATTAAGTGTTTTGCTACACAGGGTGTCCCAAAAAATGTCCCCTCTGTTGTTGGTTATAACTACTGTAATTTAGTTCACCAACAACAGAGAGGACACCCTGTATAGCGACGAAAGAAAAATCAACAATTATATTTCATGACAAAAACTCTATAGTGTACTAACGAGTTTAAAATTAAAAGAACCTACTTAAACGGTTTCATCAGTATATCCTGTTGCCTTTGTGTCTTTTTCTTCTCTTAACATTCTTTATTTTAACACAAACTTGGAAAATCGTACATCATAAACTTACGAGTTGTGCCGACATTTTGTTTATTTATGTGCGTATATATATATAGCCGGTCGGGGCCGACAATTTTTCACTTGTTGCCCAGCGAGATAAATTGCATTTATCTAAAGCCACGTGACCACAAATCAGCCAATCACGTTTGGTGTTCACCCTAGCTATATTAGAATATCATATATCAGGCTCTTCAATAGGTATCCGTGTATCCTGAGTGTTGTAAGGTCTCAGCTTGTTGTAAGATCTCAGCTTCACTCTGCCGCATACGGATACAGGAAGACATTTTAGCTCGTGACAAAAATAGTCAAGACGTTGATTATTTTTCACTTACTATACAGGGTGTCTTTGCATAACATACTTCCCTTGTGTGTTGTTCGTTGGAACATTAAGTTACCACAAACAGGGATAATTTTAGATTGAGCAGGAAATTTTTAGAGTGTAGGTATATATAATAAACAAAATACTTATAATACTCGATTTTTATTATTTACTCGTTGCCAAGGACCACTAAAAAGAGACCTTACGATTTTAGGACGGCAACGGCTACCAGTACAATAGATCATTGAAAAGAATTGAGTAATTACGATAAATGAATAATTTAGATATTGTCCTCGCTCTGTTTACAACGCCAAATCACAGATGTTCACGTGTTGATACAACGGCTGCATTCCGAGCCACAACAAGTGCAACTTCAAACTGGGTTTAGCAGAACTCTTCCCAACCATAAAACCCATGTCTTCAACTTCTAAGACTGTATTAAATTCATACGATTGATAATATACGACGAACCATTGACTACCATTTATTTGAAGGAGTTTGTTTGGCCGTCGCCGTCGCGGTTGCCGTCCTAAAATCGTAAGGTCTCTAAACTCACTCGTTCGTTTAGCGATCTTTCACAACGTAAATAGAAATCGTACGCACTCACCAATCAACGAACTACAGGTGAGAGCAATCTCCAAATGGCATTTGGCTATTACGCGCTAAGATGCGCGCCGGGCTTTAAGCCTCTTTTCCATTCATCGCAAGAGCCAACTCGCTGCGAGTGCTTTTTATATCCAATCACAATGTTAGACATACTAATAAGCCAATTGGGAATGTATTTATATTAATAAGCCAATTTGGAATGACAACTGCGCATCCAAACCACGCGTTTTGCGTCAGGACAAATTGCAGTTGAACTACAGCATGTAGCTGCGACTAAGGCTACGTTTACACTGTATAGCGGATAGCTTGCGGAGCGACGCAAAAACCATACCGGATAGGGCTTGTGTTTACATATAAAATAATGTAATCGAATCAATCTCTGCATCGAAGCGCTGGTGCGGCGCTCCGCTCTTCCAAGACCAAGTGGTGCGTGTTGTACCGGATTGGTTTTTGCAACGCTCTCATTGTAATGTAACACCCAAATCGGAGCAATTTTCGGTTCAATTCGTGATTCAAGATGGCGTCTAGCAAACAACAACTTGCTATTCTGACCTTACTTACGGGTATAGTTTGCTCACTTTTTCAAATGACGTCTGCAATATTTGCGCCATAGAAGATCGGGGGCGGAAGCTGTTTACACTTGGACGGTAACGTTTCGCGGACGAAGCAAAAATATATCCGGTACCGTGTAAAGTAGCCTCAACTGTTCAATCATCATTTGAATATGCAAAAAGTTGCTCAAAGAACAATTAGTTTCCACACGGTTGAAAATATATTCCTTTCTTCATTGACACACAAGTAAAAGTAGTATATTATAATATAACATTTATAGTACGCGAGTGTTGATTGGTCGAGAAGCGTGTATCTGTATGGAAACACGTGGAATTTCCCGTCTTGCAGCTATCATCTCAAAGCGTAAACAAAACGATTTTAACACGCGCTATTATCGGAAAAATGTGTGGTGAAACTACCTTTCACAAAGAAATAAGGGGACCACAAGGCAAAAAGGGAATTATCAGTCTAAATGTGAATTCTCAGAGGAGAACGTGACCATTTTATTTGGTCAAATTGAGGAACAAAAACAAGTGGATTTTATTCAGAAGTAATGAGAATTTGTACATTAATGGATATAAAAATGGCTATAAAAGCTTTTCGTGAGTTATATTATAAAACATATTTTCCCCTGTCTTTCTATACAGTTATGAAACACTTGTGGTAGTTTGGGAGAACTCGAAATAACGTGAGAACTCCAAACTCCCACGCGCGTTTCTATAACTGTATAGACACACGGAAAATGTTTTCAATTTCTTAATTCTAACCAACCAAGTAATTAATAGCTTTCTTTGCATGTGTAACAGATTAATAAGAGATCGTGTTTAGTTTTGCAAGATTGAGGGAAATTTATTCCAATTAATTTGGGAAAATGATCGGCCATAATGTCCATGCACACTGGCAATCACGCATCAACATCATATAACTCAAGAGTACGAAGCCGATCAAAGCTGATAACATCTTCACTATGACTCATTAAATATGTGCGTGGGCGAACTTATACAAAACATGCCAGACGAATCTGAAAAATATGTATTTACATGTAGGCGTGATTTGTTTTGCAGGAAAGAAAACATGCGCGTGCCACCTGTAAATACAGGGTGTATCACAACAGAACAATATTAAAACGTTCATCGAACCAAAAACTTTGTGGTTTGTCCGAAAGAAGCTCAAAATACTTCGCTCAAATTACTGTTCACGAGTATGTTATGCTAAAACGCCAGGGCCAACTTTAAACGTGTAGTGATATATTATTTTATTATATGGCTTTTCAAAATTCTCTATTCTGATTGGTTGACAAGCGGTCCGTAAAAACCGATATCCGGACCGTGGTCCGTATTTTCCGTATCTGGACCGGTGTCCCAGATGTCGTTTATCTGGCGGGAAATTTTTGCTTTGCAAACAGAAAATTTTTTTGCTTTGTGTGTCATTAAACTTGTGTGTCATTAAAATTTACAGATAAAAATTTCAAACAACCAAATTGTTTTTGATTGAGCATGCATGCCTACTGTATATTGTTACCCAGTGAAACTGACGATAGCAGATTTAATTCGCGCGAAAAGCATATGCTCACAGACTCAGTTCAGCCATATAGTAAACCGATTATTGACCTCGCTTGTTCGGTCTGTACTGTGAAATATCAGACCTATACTACCCCCATACTAAAAGCCTCGGTCTGATATTTCACAGTACAGACCTCACGCTCGGTCAATAACCCTTTAATATACCCAATGATACACTGGCAATATAGGTGGGATTCAAGTATTGAAATGAATGTAACTGAAATGCTACCTCCAACTGGAAATTTGAAGTCAAACTTGAAGGCCAGACCCAGTCTTTTCACGCATGCGAAGAGCGCGTTCAAACCGTCAACATGGATATGTATTCTGGAAAACCAGCTTAAAATTTACAACTAAATTACGAAGCTTTCTATTAATCCACTTATGCAGGTAAAACTTCCTTGTAGACTTTACTTTTAGTTTTTTTCTAATAATTGTTTCTTGAAAGAGCATTTTGCCGCGAGAGAATCACGGGATATAAGCCGTGTTTACACTACGAGCCTAAGCCTGGCCTAGCTTTGGACTAGATTTTTGTAGTGTAAACGCACTTTGGGCCTGGCCTAGGTTAGGAAATGTAGAACACCTGTTCTGATGGCCCAGATTTCCTGACCTAGGCCAGGCCGAAGTGCGTTTACACTACAAAAATCTAGTCCAAAGCTAGGCCTAGGCCAGGCTTAGGCTCGTAGTGTAAACACGGCTTTAAATATGCGTGTCTTGAGATTTGGCTCAATTAAAAGATAGGCAGTTTATCTGAGGTAGCGTTCCATTCAAGCAATCCCCTGAGACTTTAATACAAAGTCAAATAATGAGATTCTAATACATGAAATTCTTTTGTTTAAATGCCTTGCATGTGCACTAAACTGGAGTCTCTCGAGCGCGATCCAAATGACATGTTCAGTGTCGGGATAAATTGCAGTTGAATCATAACATGTAGCTGAGACTTACATATATGCAACAGAGGGGACTTTCGTCGATGCTGCATGAAAGTGAGCTTTTTCCCGCAAATTTTGCTTTTCGATGTTTTGCTTACAATTTCTAATTTGTATTTGCTTCTATTTTCGATGTTTTGCTTATAATTTCTAATTTTGAAGTTTACAGCATTGTGATTCTCTGGTTTTTGAAAGCATCTTTGCTTTTTTTGTTGGAAGTTATAGACTAACTCTTCAACAACCTAATGACTGTTTTTAAAGCAAAGAAATTGAAGGGAAAACTTATATTTTCATACGAAGAAGATGAGTGGCGATATTTATGTTGGACTGTTTTGAGCAGATGCTTCGAAGAACATGATATAATCGGACCTTGTATACCTTAAAAGTGTACTTGGAACAGCCGAACAAAGTGGTAAATTTTGTTACCCGGTGTGTTGGGCATCATAATTCACAGGAATAGTGCTCACCGGCGTTTAAACTGGCTATGAAATATTGTGAATACTTCGTCGAGTTCTCTACCGCCATGTGACCTGTAGTTTAATGTGGCACGCGTCTTTGAAAGGGCTTTACTTGACTTTAATCGACGTGTAAGGTATAACTTAGGTAAGCCAACATTTCTTTGTAATGCAAGCTACATTTTCATATCTTTAATGTGTGAATATTTTTAATTTTGTAAAAAATTAAGCCCAACATGTTGTTGGAAAAAGTATCGAGTGCTTCATAATAACGCTCAGATCTTGTATACAGATATTCGTATTTTATTCAAAATCTACCCTTTATCACCACTTTTTTTATTCTTTTATGTTAAATAATATCATAGTTGCCTCGAAATCCTTTGTCTCGCGAGGTACGATTAATCACTAATTTACCTCATTACTAAAACATGGAGTGAAATTAGAACTAATTTTTACCACGGGCAAAATTAGAATTCTAATTTTCCCCTGCATGCTTGATGAGGGATATTTAGAAGACAAACGCGTACCTCATTACCTCTGATTGGAGAGCTGTACCTCATCGAAAATCATCGGCACAACTATGGACAGTATCTGACGACACCGTCCCGTACACATACGAACAATCACTTTGCCAGCTTTTATTCCCTAATCTTGAACATTTCAATTGTGGGAGAAAATTCCGTTTATGCGCATGCCTAAAACGAATGAACACGGAGATGTGTTTCTGCGCGTGCGTATATATGAAAAGTGTTCGTACCACAATCATAAGACAATCAAACAGCATTCAAAACAGGCAACACACCACGCGCGATTCCCTCGGCAATTATGATATTACAAAGTAATAGCATGGCATTACGGTCGATTAGTGATGAAATGTCCCTCAAGCCTCGAGAGGTTTAGTAAAAGTCCACTTTTACTAAACCTCTCTCGGCTTTCGGGTACATTTAATCACTATAATCGCCCTGAATGCCATGCTATTACTTATAAGTATACATAATCCTTGACTTGATAACACGATGATCTACTCGATGAAAATTGTGCAAAGGGGCGATCTTTGCAGAGAAACTTGACCGTTCGGTGAAATCGGTAGTTTTGAGACCCTATTTTAATTGTAGTATTTCGTGACAATATGTTGGCCGATTTCTAGTTTATATTGTAGAACGGCTTCCTGGTGAATTAAATTGTCTATCTTCTAACGAGTAGTAATAAGCGCGATTCATTTTTGTTGATGGAGGTTGAAATCATTTTAGACTTTTCTTCATATACAACAAGTACACTACCGAGCACTGAATCACTGTTTGCAAAGAAACTAGCCTATATCACCTCCATAATTCAAGCTTATTTTTCAAGTCAAATAGTTTCTCCATGGATAAAAGTAGTTTTTATGGAGTCAAAAATAGGACAAGTACGAATTTAAAGAAGGTCAATTTGCACTTGTATATCTCACTTCGAAAACGATATGCATATAAAACAGGTATATTTGTACGGCGAAATTAAACTGCTGCAACAAAGTTTTTATTTCTACTTTCACGTTCTTATTCCAAAGCAAACACTTCTAAGTCGAAAATGCCTAAAATTGTGAGCATAGAAACACAAAAAAAAAACAAGAAAACGACTTCATAACGCGAGTAGTTTTGGCAAATTTAGTGTTTGTTTTTAGAATTCAATCACGCGATCAACCGCGCTCACGTGCACTCCACGCTTACGTTTCTCGCGCATGCGTAGACGGAAGTCCCCTTTGTTTATATATGCATGTCTAAAGCTAAAGGCCGTCTTCCACCAGGCGGAATTTTCTGCGCGGAGCGGAATTTTTCTTTGTCTTGTGATTTCGACGCATCAACGCTCGTTTCTAATTCGAACAACTAGGGTGTGGAACAGCCTAGCTGACGAACTGAAACTTAACATGATGAATTTGAACTCATTTAAATCTACTATTCTAAGTTTACTTATTACTTCCGTGCTTTGGAAATTTCCTACGATCCTGAAAATCCAAGAACATTCAAAACTATATGTACCAAGTGTAATACCGCTCGAACCAGCTCTGCTTCAGCCTCTTAAGTGCTGCTATTAGTTATAGTTTTATTTAGATAGCTTTTTTCATGTTTGTATGTCTTAATTTGGGCCCGCAGTAATTGGCTCACGCTGTTGCGGTCACCCTGCCTATAGTCATGTATATTATCCTTGTTCTTGTTATAGTTGGTATAGGTATATGGCAAAACTAATAAATAAATAAATTTCCCGGGTGGAACTAATTAGAAAAGACAAAGAGAAATTCCACTCCGCGCGCAAAATTCCGCCTAGTGGAAAACAGCCTTAAAGGCGGATTTCCATTCAGTGCAAAATTCCCACAATCGATTTTTTGGGATCGCTTTCTTTTGAAATGTGCATGTGCAGTCAACTAAAGCGATCGCAAAAAGTCGATCGCGCAACATTTTGCACTGAATGGAAATCCGCCTTTACGCCTGTATTCAAAAAGCTCACTCACACTCAAAGAGTGGAGGTTCAATCTGAGATTCCCCTGAGTGTTAGTGCTGTTGAGATTCCCTTGAGTAGCAGAGCTGGAGGGTGAGTAGTCACATAGTAAGGTACGACACTAACCCTCCAGCTATTCAAAAACAGCACTGACACTCAAGGAAGCTCAGATTGAACCTCCACTCTTTGAGTGAGCTTTTAGAATGCAGGCGTAAGTATTAATAATAATAATACTAATAATAATAATAATAATAAAATGAAGGATATAAATACCTAGGGATTTTGGAATGTGATAAATTGAAAAGTGGTGAAATGAAAGAAATACTCAGAAATGAGTACTTCAGAAGAATGAAAAAGATCCTCAAGTCCAAATTGAATGCAGGAAATATCAATTCACGGGCTGTATCAATCATAAGGTATGGAACAGGGTTAATTGAATGGACAAAAGAAGAACTAAAGGAAATGGACAGAAAGACAAGGAATATACGTACTATTTATAAGTGTTTCCACCCAAGAGATGATGTTGACAGGCTGTATTGGAAGAGGGTTGAAGGAGGAAGAGGATTGCAGAGTGTGGAAGATGTTGTAGAAATTGAAAATTGCAGCCTATGACACTACCTCACCAAGACAGATGAGAGTTCTTAAAGGAGGTCAAGATAGAAAACATTTTCAAGGAAGAAGAAGACCCAAAAGAAAGGAAGAAGAAGCCCCAAAAGAAAGGAAGAAAACCATCATAAACAGAAGAAAAGAAAGTTTCCTTGAAAAGAAGATACATCCTGTATTTTGGAAAGGAACAAAGGAGATAAGAGACGAGGAAGCAACATGGCAATGGTTAAAGAAGGGAACGCTAAAAAAGGAAACAGAAGGAATGATCCTAGCAGCTCAACACCAAGCCCTCAGAACCAAATGGATGCGACACCATATTGTAAAGAGTTCGAAATTTCACCAACATGCAGGATTTGTGGACTCGCAGATGAAACCGTCTCACATATTGTTTCGGAATGAACTCTGCTTGCTCAAAAGGATTATAAGAATGTGAGACATGATAAGATTGCTGCTGCAATACACAGAAACCTATGTAAGAAGTATGGATTTGAGTATGCGGAAAAAAGCTATAACCACCACATTGACAAGGAAAGCAGAGTATTGGAGAACGATGAAGTAAAAGTCTATGGGATTTCACCATCCAGACTGAAAAGAAGCTAGATTACAACAAACCAGATCTAGTCATATTGAACAAGAAGGAGAAGACCACCCATATAGTGGACGTAGGCTGCCCATTTGATACAAGAGTAAAGGAGAGGGAAAGAACAAAGATAGAAAAATACACAGACCTTAAATATGAGTTACCAAAGGTATGGAAAGGGGAAGTGACCAAGGTATTTATACTGCCAGTCCTCATAAGCCCCTTGGGAACGATGACCAACAATGTACAAAATAACTTGGACAAGCTGAAAATAGGCAGTAACGCAGGGGATCTTCAAAAGATCGGACTGCTTGGAACAGCAAGGATCCTGAGGAAGGTACTGGACTCGTAACCTGCCATCAATATGCTGCGGGAAGTAGGATGATGCCAGGCGCAACCGGTGCAAAATAATAATAATAATAATACATGAGGGATCACATTTTCTACTTTAAAGCGAGTCAACCATGCGGAAACGAATTGGTTTTTAGCAACTTTTCCCATATTTAAATGATGATTGAACAGTTGTCTAGTCTCAGCTTCATGTTATAGATCAATTACAGTTTATGCCCACGCAGAACGCTTCATTTAAATGTCGCAGTCGCAACTCTGAATTGGCTTATAGGAAGGCATAATAATTTTCATACTATTCATAGTTTGCATGCCACATCTGCCCTCGCTATCTGCGCAAGCTACAGTCCAAGCCAAAACTCATGTGGGCACTAATAGCTAAAACTTGACTTGACACACATATCCCCCACTCCCCCTCTTCAATGCTACATATCCGTATTATCTATAACATTTCTCATTTGATGAAAAATTCTATTCAACATTGACTTAGGGGAGCGGGGGATATATTTTTAGAGAAACGCCATTCGAGGCCAATGTCTGTGGGTTGTCCACAATGTTTTGGCCAGGATTGTAGTTCAAAATTAGTCTGGGGGTTTTCGACAAGCTAAGACCCTGTAACTGTATTTACCTCTGGAATTCTCAATTTGTATTCGATATACATCAATGCAAAGAACAAAAAAACAAAAACAAAAATGTATAATAATCGTTGATATTATCAAGGGAGGAGGAAAATATGCGACTTGTTACGTGGGCGAATAAAGATGACATATAGAGTTTACATGATTGACATACACAACCAGTTTTTGCATATAATGTCGAGAATTGTTTTGATTAAAAGTAAATATTTGGATGGATGATGTTCCGCGGTATATATATATATATATATATATATATATATATATATATATATATATATATATATATATATATATATATATATATATATATATATATATATATATATATATATATATAAATATATATATATATAATAATAATAATAATAATATTTCAATTATATGGTGTAAAAAGAGTGCTCAACATCAAGAATTTAACAGAGCAAATAGTATTTTAACTTAAAATTGAGTCACAACTCTGAGTTTCACGCTGAGTGCGATCATCAGGTGACGGTGTTACAAGTGACGGTTCAATCTTCCGTATGATGACGTTGGATTATATGCGTGATGGCGCAGCGCGCGCACGTTCAAATTTTCCCGCGAGGAATCGCTTCCGGTGGCGGCACTTCGAGAAAAGTTCACACCTTTTGTTCAACAGTTTTGTCTTGTCACCTTTTAGGATATGTAATTTTTCCTGGAGACAAAGATCACAGTTTTTTGCGCCGCTGCGATAGGAAGGTGTTAAATATAGGAAGGTGTTTTGTATCGCCGCTGCGATAGGAAGGTGTTTTATCCAACGTCATCATACGGAAGATTGAACCGTCACTTGTAACACCGTCACCTGATGATCGCACTCAGCGTGAAACTCAGAGTTGTGACTCAATTTTAAGTTAATATATATATATATATATATATATATATATATATATATATATATATATATATATATATATATATATATATATATATATATATATATATATATATATATATATATATATAAACAAAATTCACGCAATGATCAATGATAATAGTACAGTGCGTAGCATGCGCAAATCAGCACGTAGGCGGCTTAAACAAGCTAGTGCATCGCAATCGCGAAGACATACTATTTTTGAATAAATACCAAGGCATATGATTTCGAACAAACTAAAAGACTAACAAACTAACCGACTAACAAACCCACGCACCAAATATAAGCGACTTTGGGCAACGCAATTTGTCTCATTTACAGGCCTTAAAATACGGTCGGTCACGGACATTGTCCGACCCATTCGTGAAATTGTCCGGCGTAGAGAGAAAACCACCGGACATTCTGTCCGACCTAGGTGAAACTGAGGTTTATTGTTTGTCGAACCTAAGCGTATTTGTGTCCTACCGAACTGCAGCTTTGTCCAACGTAAATCAAAATGCACCCTTTCCCAGGACTAGAGGCTTGTATGTTAAATGGAAAATCAGAGTACTATTGTATAAAAGGTGAACTGGAAATGTTGTTTTAACGTAGTCGAGCGCGGGGCGGCCAGCTAAATGGTGAAGTGGAAAACAGGCTTAAGTTGTCGAAGTCTTTTTTAATACTTCTGTTCTGAAAAGCAAGTTAATTTTAGCTTGGGAATATAAGTATGAAAGAAAAAAAAATTTCTTCACAACATTTACAGTACAGAATTAATACATTGTGCTGATATTCATTTGTGTCATTCAGACTTATTTCCGAGTGAAAACTGAACTGAAGGTCATCGGACATACGTCCGACCCAAAATCAACGTTATCGGACATTTTGTCAGACGGCCCTGTTATAAAAGATATTTTAAGGCCTGCATTTAAAAATACTGCAAATGATCATGGTAACTGGTAACATCTTTCACTATTTTTCTCTAATTGTCTTAATTTTCGATACATTTCGACCAAAAACAACATAACGTTCGCCATCTCATTTTTAGACCAAGAAACATATCCGCATGACTCACCTGAATCAAGCTTTGGAACCCTAGTTCCATTCCTCTCACGACGGCGCGGCACGGCAGCATTTCCCAGGCCAAGGTAAGAGCGATGTTCTGATACTTTAGCTCGTAATTTCGACTTCGCTTTAAGATTCGGTTCGGAGGCTACATGATGGTATAAATAATCCACGTATGATTATTACTGTAGATTCTATAACTCTAGTCAAACGAAGATAAGAGTTATAATGAAGTCCAGTACGGACGAGGAAGTTTAAACAGATTGGTTAAAAACCAATACATTGCCATTGGTTATCTCTATTAATTAATAATTATTCACCTCAGTGTCGGTGAATAGTGCAAGGATATTCACCGAAACGCGAAGCGTTAAGGCGCGAAAATCACCATCCAACTCCGGACCCGTGTATATGCTAATCTAAGATAACCAATCCCTTGGTTACTTGTTTTAACCAATTTATTTTTACAGTGAATTTCTTTGTACGACGAACAAGTTTATTCGCAGGGCCGTAGGTTCAATTCCTACCAGAGGACCTTGTGCTGCATTTTTCGCAGTCGTTCCTGGTCAGGTCTTAAAATGTATATAATCACTTGGATTACAAACCCTAATATTCTAATAAGTTTATTTCGATCATCTTTCCTTAACAAGTTTTACGTATACTAAACAATTTCATGATAACTTTCGTTCAAAGCCGCCTATATTTCGAACAAATTTAAAAACAGCTGAAACTATCTACGATACCATTTCAAGTCCTCCTTGACAGCAGCACGCACGGACAAGACTCATTGTCAAGGAAAAAATTGTCAATTTTTGCATGAACAAGTAAAACTTGTTGGAAATAGTGAGAAAGTAAGACAATGAATGAATGAATGAATGAATGAATGTTTTCCATGGCGATAATAGAAGTTTTGGTTATATATAACAACACGTATATATTCATCATTGCACTACTAAATATATATGCGGTGTTTCCACAAACCAGAACTTATAACAATACCTGTTTTACGAAGAGGAAAATTTGAATCACCATTTGAAGATCGAGGTCGACCGAGTGGACTTATAGCATCTCGTTCATCATCAGCGACACCAAGGTTCCTGAAATGCATAAAACATGCCAGGTGATTAATATACATACAAATGATTTTACCGTATTTCCTCTATTTAGCCGGAAGCCTCTTTTAATGATTGGCATCATTCAAACCTTTAGAAATGTATTGTCTTTAACCTATAGACCCATTGCACTGACGTCACAAATCCTTAGAGTGTCCTCCAGATGCTCCCTAACAATATCTGTTTGGGTACAACAACCACATACAGCGCAAAAATTAACCATTTTAATACAAAATTATTATAAAGTTTTACAAAATTTGCTTTGTTTACAAAAGTTATATTATGCATAGATTGCTAATTCCTCCAGATGCATCGTCACAGCGCCTGTGACGTCATGTGCAATGGGTCTATTTAGATGCCAGTTTATAGCATAGCATGACCAGTTGCCATACCAAGCTTCGCATATAGTCCAGGATATTAAGGCTCATTTCCATTCATCGCAAGAATGAACTCGCAAGCTCACCACGAGTTCTTTCAACTCGACAGTGCAATTTAATGAGATACAAACACTCGCAGCGAGCTTGTGAGTTAGTTTTTGCGATGAGATGAAAAAAATCCCTAAGGCAGGGTGTCAAAACTGGCCGCACAAAAGATACCATAGGTGTTAGAGATGTGCAAATACGATCCGAAACCAATGCGAATCCGATCCGATTCGTTCGGATTTCAGAGCCATAATATTCACATCGGATCGGATTGGAAAAGTTTTTCGTAGTCAAATCGGACTTCGATTACCAGGGCTGCTCTGAAAACTAAAAGCTTATGGCGCTTTCGTTTAATATTTTTAGAATTATTTCTAATTGTCTATTGTCTAACCCTATTTGCGAAGAATAAAAGATCTGAGTTGTTTTGGCGCGAGATTGCGGATTGGCTTCTGCAAAGACTAGAGTCTAGAGTCTAAAAATTTGACATTGATATACAGTTATACACTTGATTGGAAAGTTTAATTTATTGAAGGTTTTTATCGGATTTTTTTCGAATCGGAACGCTTTAACAAACTCAGATCGGATTGGATTCGGATCAGACAATTTCGGATCGGATTTCAGAAAATTACCAATTGTCGGCTTGTAAACCTCCAATCCGATGCACACCTTCAGTGGGTGTGGCGACCTATTTTCGTGGACGTGGTAAAAATCAATTGGAATGAATTGTCTTGTATGTATTCTCATAATTCACCGTCTTTTCGACAAAAAAGTATTGAGACCTTTGACAGCAGACGACTTCTAAGGTATTCAAGAAATATCAAAAGGCTTGCGAGTTGCTACTTTCAGAACATATCGAGATTTTTGGGCATCTCGCTCGGAAAATGCGACTATAGGCCCTCTGGCAGGAATCGAACCTGCAGTCCTGCGATTCCGGTGCAGCGCAACAGGTGGGAAATTTGTCTGAGCATGCGCGAATAAAATGAGCACGCAATTGCGTGGAATACACGCAACACGTGTTTACAAAAAGGCACAATCGTGTAAATATTGCCAAATGTTTGTACAAAATAAATGACTGTTTTATGTTGAAAGAGTGGACATGATCTAAATTAATCATACAGAATTTTTTAGTGACGTTCTATTTCAGTACCCTGCCATTGTCTCTGGTGGGCTGTCCGTGTGCATTCGATCTGAAACACTTGCTACTTTGCTGTCGAAGAATTTCGAATGTTTACATGAAAATAGAGGCAACTCATGCATTTTACAACCTCTCAAACTGTATGAGCCCCTATTTTTACGCTTATACCTAAGATATCAAATAAAAGTACATGAAACAGAGAACATTTGTAGAAAGTTTTAACGTGAGGCCACGGCCAGTTTTTAAAATATCTTTATTTCTGTTCCGGTCATCACCAAAATTACACAAAAGCCGGGCTTGAATATACAACAAATTTTGAATCATCAAACAATACTTAACGTGTAACCACATGAAATCGAAATTAATAGCTAAATTTTCAAACTAGACCCTTCTCGAAGCGGTTTTCATGAAGGAAGTTCACATTTCGGCCTTTGATTTTTGGCAAAAATTTGACCACAACACGTGCGAAGCAACTGGGTCTCAAAGACTGAACTAAAACATTGTGAGCCCCTATTTTCCTTACGATATGTTTGATACCTACAAACGCCGAAAATTGTTTTCTTTTCATTTAGCTATATTTGAAATTGAGGCCACGGGCTATTTTTGAGAAAATACAGTTCAAAGTCAAGCTATTTTTACATATTTTCAAAATTTGTCAAATTTCGCGAGCTTGTATTTTGAACTTAGACAGCTGAAGTTACATTAAGAAACACAGGATGGAAAATTTGAGGCATATAAAGTTAATTTCAACTTACATTTCATTCTCAAATCACGTCTTTCTTCGTTTATTACGGTTTTAAACATGCCATAGATCGACGTATACGGTATTTACTCCCATGTTCACGTCGCCATATTAACTTCTTTCAATCACGCGATTACAAAACAATCATCCCAAAACAAAGAATTCATGATCGACTTTTAAAAGAATAACCAATAATTTGTAAATCGTTGAATGGAAAGCAAAAAATCGTCAGCTAAAACAGCTTCTTGCTAACTTTCTGCTTTGTTTTGAATGTAAATGCAATGAGCTTTGTTTCTGCCCGCAATTTTTTGGTCAGCGACGACAAATTTCCCACCTGTTGTGCAGCGCTCTAACCAACTGAACTACACATTTTTTCGCAACTGCTCCTGGTTAGGTCTAGAATTGTATATAATCTTCCGCTCGACCATCTAGTTCCATCGAGCGAGATGCCCCAAAATCTCGATATTTACCCATACCTTACATACTGGTATCACCCACTGTATATGTACAAGAATTTGTGGTTAGAGCTCGACAACTGGAGTTTGTATCTCAGTTGGTTAGGAGCGCTGCAGCGGAATCGCAGGACCGCAGGTTGGATTCCTGCCAGAGCGGACATAAAGTTGCATTTTTCGCAACTGCTCCTGCTTAGTGTATAATCTTCTGCTCGAAATTTCCGTCTGCAAAACCTTTCAACTATTTACAGAAAACATTTTCTTAAAGGGATACGGCAATATATTTTTTATTATTTCATTTTAAAGAACTTTTAAAATTATATGTAAATCTCCTTTACCGATTTTGCGTAACTTTATTATTTTTTGAAATATTTTGACTTAAAAGAATTTGCTCATTATCGGTGATTTTAGTGACGTCAAAAGCAGGGTTAGCCATATAAAACTACATCTAAATGACCAAATAACATTAGGTCTTGTTTTTTATTTCAAATAAAAAACAAGTTTTTTATTTCAAATAGTTACTGAAGTATATGATTTTGGGCTCATAATAACCAATTGCTCTATGGATAAAATTCTTGCGTGACCCTGCTTATGATGTCACATGCATATCCGCCAAAATCCAAGATGGCGGAAAGTTCGATGATTTGTGATTTTTTCTGTTCAAATATCTCAAGAAATAATCAAAAGTTACGCAAAATCGGTAAAAGAGATTTACATATAATCTTAAAAGTTCTTCCAAATGAAATAATAAAAAATATATTGCCATATCCCTTTAAGCCCTCCATTGCCGTCTATATTATGGAGTGACGGTTTAATTTCACACAACGACTCAGTGGCGTAGCCAGCCCGACAATTTAGTCAATGAACACAAAAATATTTGCATAGCGGGTCGGACTAAATCGTTGGGCTGGTACGCTACTGCACAACGTAAGCTTAATAAAATTTTCATTTAAAACTAAATTGTGTTTGGCTATTTTTAAAATAACTTTCCGGGTTATATATTTTTTTAAATCGTACGATTTAGGTAAATTGAAAATCAGTGCTTTTAAAATATTTACCAAACAATGAGTATAAAACATTATTTAAAGATTGTTGAATACTGTTGGGGCAATAATGATGGGTCCGTTTCAACACAGTTAATAGAATACATGGTTGGAGACTCGATGAAAGTACAATATAACTCATTAACTATGTTGGTTTCGGTTTATTCAAGAATTTGGGTCTATCTCGTCATGTGTGTATTGTATTTTTTCCCGCACAACCAATAGCAACGTTTAAATTGAGCATTTGTTCAAGTTACGGATGGATAACTCAAACACAAACTTGTTATTGGTTATTTGAGCGAAAATACAATACACACGTGACGAGATAGGACCAAATTCTTGCATAAAGCTGGACAATAACATAGTTAATGAGTTATATTGTACTTTCATCGAGTCTCCAAACCATCTATTGGTTTAAAGGATCCATGTTGGAATTGTAGGGCCAGTGTGTGGGCATACTGATTAAGATTTAACATTTCGATAGCGCAAATTCACATGTGGATATGATCAAATGCGCTTTACATCAAGTATATTATAATAGACTTACCAAATTACATACTTAGCCTAGACTACTTTATCTTTATAACAATTGTGATATTACTTTCCTAAACTGTGTTTATCCTAACCCACCCTATCAACTTTCCCTGTGGGAGGAAACCGGAGTACCCAGAGAAAACCCACGACTTTCGGCAGGGCGTTGATGGACTCTTTTCACATGAGTCCATAGCGAGAACCGAACCCACGATCTCAGAGGTGAAAGGCGCTTGCTCTCACGACTGTAATATACAAAAAGATGAAAGCTTACCATCGTTTGAACATATTAGGATCGGGAACTCCAGAGACTGCCGCTTCACGTTGTTGTTTGTTTAATACAAATTCCTGTAGCCGTTGTTTTACTTGGTTTGATGTGACTAAAAGAAATATTAATATCATTTGCATAAAATTATCTCAATTATTTCCCTAGATATCAAAATTTAATTTTTCAATAATATCATACACCTGACATTTTGATCTATTCTCACTGGGACTTTTCCCTCACAATACCATACACTTTGAATATTTATGCATGAGATGATCAGTTAGTCATCCATATACACCACGTGATTGTCAGACAGTATAAAAGTAGCACAGAATCGGTATCTTTTGAGCATTTGCGGATTTGCCACCGAAAAGGAAGGACAGCGTTGAAATTTTTTGCACCCACCTCCCCTCGGCTGCGACACTTCCGGACCTAACTTCGCCGCACTCTACCTTTGGCTGAAAATTATTTATCCCCAAGCTGAATTCCCTCAGTCAAAGGTATTGTGCGGGGAAAGCGAGCAGTGAGAATATATTACAATTTTGTGGCATACCTGGTTGAATGAAAATATCGAAACAAACTCGTAAAGCCAGGAATGTTTCAAAAATCTCGAATGAGCTTCAGCGCTATACAGATGCTCATAGATGATGACATGATGTACTACTTTGTGATGATGACATGATGTACTACTTTGTGATGATGACATGATGTACTACTTTGTGATGATGACATGATGTACTACTTTGTGATGATGACATGATGTACTACAATACACATGTGGGGTCGTGATCACTACGCTTGCCTTTCAAGCTGGGAGACCCAGGTTCAATCCTCGGACTGCTACTCAAGGTCTTAAAATAACTGAGAGGTAAGAGCTACTTTTACATTGACATCAATAAATGGTCAGATTTTCGTGCCTTCTCAGATAAGGCCGTTAAATCTTGTGTATCTTGGATCCCCTATCAATTCACTGATGTGTAAAAAACTCAATAAACTAAACTGTAAACCACCAATAACCAAAATACAAATTAAGGTTTTCCACAGCGACATAGTCTCAATCCCCCTCCCCCCGCTCCTCCATCCCAGAGGTGTTACGGCAACAAACTGACAGTGTGGACACAACCCGAGGACCATGGTTTTGTGTACAAACGACTATCCACATTAGCTTATACATCTGTACGAACGGTTGTACATTTGTACATTATACGAACCTGTTTTATGGGTCATGTTAATATGGACCGTGGTTATGTGACTGTTCTAGCGATAAGGCCCTGTCACACTATTGCGTACAGTATAAGAGAAACGTATGAGAAGCGTATGAAAATTAATGAAATAATTTTCATACGCACAAAAACCCTTTGAATTGCCAGCGCATGAGTACTGTACATCTGGCGTACCTCTAGCGTATTTAGCGTGTGACTAGAATACGAATGTGTCCGAATACGCGCAAAATGTTTAAGCACGATCGCCGTATGCCACGTATGCGACCGTGTTTGAAACGTATACAACCTACAGCTAGTGTATGTCAACGTTATTGGCTATCATATCATTCATGATAACCCTCCATTGCCCCGCCCGCCCAAGTGCGCGCGATTGTTTATTTTACACTATGCCCCAAATAATGAGTGAAATATTTGTTAACATACTTTCTGTAGGTTGCTTTTCGCTCGTCTTCAACTCACTAAAACCATTGTACTCTTCAAACTCTTCCCTATCATCCTCGTCGTCAGTATCAGCGGGCTCAATCTACAATGCAAAGACTTTGTAAACTCATAATGTTTATAACGTTCACCGGTAATGCTGTGTATGTAGCGTTCGTATACGTACGCAGTTGATACTCACTCTCGGCTGCTATTTTAAATATATTTGCTCAAGAACAAATTTTATTTTGATAATAACGGCTGGCCGGGGTGGAGACTAAAAAGATGGACAATCTAAAACCAACTGTAAAATGAGTTTGATCATCTATTTGCGGAGCCCACAAGAACACATACGAAATGGCATTAACTCATGAGAAAATACAGATAGAAATGTCAGATGGAGCAATAATCACTTTGGACAAGCCTAAAAAGCCTGTTCCAGGTTATATTAGGCCTAATAAATGTATATAAATTTCGACTCGATAATTTCCATCTAAAATACCCTTCAACCAATATACTAGTGTGTCCACAGTGTTCATGCCGATGCCATAAGTCATTATTTGGACACGAAACGTCAAAGAAAATTCTCACATGATGGTACTAACTCCTTTAGATATCTTTGAAAATAATATATTTCATTCATAAACTCACTGTGAGTAGCAATTTCAGGAAATCTCCTGTCAATGACAGTCACATAAAATACAAATGTATCAAATTCCATTGTAGCAGGCCCATTGGACTTCTCTAGGCCAGGCAACGTATGCTTATAGTACTAAAGGCTGAACAGTATGCTGAAGTTTGTCCACGTTTTTAGTCTCCATCCGTTACATGAATGCACTGTATTTCATCGACACACAAACGAGGGCTAAAAAATATCCGGGAACGCCGCAGCATTGCTGCCAGGAAATAACTAACTTTAATTTCATCTTATATATTAAAATACTATGTAATTATTGTTTAAAAATTTCAAATTCGCTTTTGAAATCGAAAAAGTCAGGGACGCAGCCCTTTGTGGTTGGTGGGATGTACTGTAAGGGCCCAAATTACCTGATTTTTAAATTACGTTTTACTTTACCTAAAATTAGTGTTTGAAATTTAGGGTTTTGTTTTTTTCATGAGTATACATTCAAGTAGCAGGTGTTTCTTTCGTAAGATTACACTAGTATAAATGGGATACGGGGCTACATCTACTAGGTGGATTCAGGGGGATGCCCCCGGAAAACTTTTTGACTATTTAGGCCGTCAGAATGCCCGGACATGCATCCAAAATGTTGCATTCCTTTTAACTTCCAGGTTTGCCTGTCAATGCTCTTGTCATTTACTTCAAAATCAGCTTTAAATCTCCTAAAAATTTACCTGAAATTACTCATCAACCAACAATAGTGGGGGGCTGTTACACCCCCACACCATATGTACGTTCGGCACAACCAGGTGCGGTACCATGCCTGCACTCCCTAAACGCTACCTACATATGCAGTAAGTTTTACATTTGATTCGAAAACGAAATTCACTTCGGGGTTATACGGAGAGAAAAATATTTTTCTAGGCCTGAATGACATACCTTGACTTTAATAGGGCTTCGTTCATTCTCTTCTTCAGTCCAGATGCATTTCTCATTAGATTTATCATTCGTTTCATCTCCTTCATTCTTATGAGCCGTGCTTTGCTCTAAACCTGAACCTTTAAGGACCTTCTTATAATACTCCGCATACTGCTGTTGGGCAAGCTAAATACACAATTGAGTAAAATATTATAAAATATATGTTGTGATAATTATGTTTTGATATTGTTCACTCGGTAATATGATAGGACGAAATGTTCTAGAGTGAATGATTCCAAATCGCCCAAGCAGAGAATTCTGCCTGCCGTGGCTGGGTTTCGAACCCGCGACTATCGAAATGCCAGCTCGGCACTCTACCAACTGAGCTACAGAATGTACTGCTCGAGAACATTTCATTCTATCATATTACGGAGTACACAATACTGTATCACAACATATAGTAATTTGTAACCAACGGTAAAGCAATGCAACCAAATAACTCTATAGCTTGCAATGATTGCTCATTCCGCATTTTCCTATTGTACAAAGTTCTTTTAATTTTTTTCAAAATTATACTTATTATAACTTTATTCTGCCCACACAGAAGCCAAGCAAGAATTAAACTAGAATATTTATTGTAAACGACATTCTATTGCATGTTTCTTCTTGTCTGACTTAAAGTGGCGCTAGCTCCAAATATGATTTTTGGAATTTGTAATATTTGGACTGTTTCATTAGGAAGAAATGCAATATATCTACGTAAGGAAAAGCTCATCTTCATCAACGTAGACGTTGCCGGATATGACGTCATTTGTTGAATTGTAAAGTTTTTTTGTTTCTTGCTGCCAAAATTCATTTTCAAAAGAACATCATATCCATTGAGGAAGACAGGATTAAAGATTTCTTCTTAGAATGTATCAGAAAAAGGTGATCCAACTTTAGCAATTTATAAATTTACTTTTTTTCTTTTCTATAAAGATCAGGCTTTTTAGCTGTCAAATGACATGTCTCTCTTGCATCATTCCGAACAAAAATGGCCAATAAAAATACTATTCGAATTTCTTAACATTTCAATGAAAAGAAAGTTGCTTAGGTGACGAACATTTGGCGTCGGACGTTTTCTGCAAATTTTCATTAATGTCCACGGAATTTCTTTGATAAATCGCGAGTTATTAGGCCCCGTTCAGACTCGAATTCGTCGGCTTTCGCCTTGCGTTCAAACGGGACGCATGAAACTGGACGAATTCCAGCACAGCTAACTCCATGTGAGCAGCGGAATCGGTCTTTTTCAAGACCATTTTGCAGGGTAGAGGATTGGGATTGAAACTGACTGAGACGATCTGCGCATGCATACGTAAATACTTCCGGGACTACAATTCATCCGGTTACATGTATGAACACCGTTCGTCTCGTAATGAATCCGGTCCCGTGCACGTAAACAAGAACCGGACGAATTTGAGAACGGTTCCGAATTCATCCAGCCCCGTGTGAACGTAGACTAAACAAGCGTGAGCTTAAACACGTGGAGGTAAAAATATTATACAACTGTTCTACTACATGCCTGTGCCAACTGCAACTGTTGAAGAACAAACTGTGGAGGGTAGCCTTGTTTAAGTAATTCCTCTAATTGCGCAGATGCTGGGATCACAAACTGAGCATTTATCCCTGCTAGGCCAGGAATACCTAAATCAGGTGCTACAGAAGAATTAAAAATGGAAATGATTAGTATACGGACATTCAGATTGACTACAGCCAAAATGGGCATTCTTTTTCCTAAATATTCCTAACTTACTTGCCAATGTATAGCTTGTTCAGTGGCTATTTTCTCAGCAATATATACAGATACTGTATAAACTTTTCTTTTCCAGCATGATAGGGCCGCAGAGAATTTGTATGGGTAATGGTATGGGTTCGAGTGCAATTTGGAAAAAACATGCAGTATAAGTTTCTCAAATACGATCAAAATTGCACAAGTATCTATTTCCCTCCAACGAATCTATTTGCCTGCTATTTCTCAAACCACCGATTCACTCCAACTCGGACAACGAGCCAACGTTTTCTTTACACCAAAGTGACTATATATGTTAGACTTCCGTACACTTGAAAACTTAATTGCCTTGAAACTAGGAGTTGAAATGAGCGGGCGCCAAGTAGTATTCATCTGGCGACGAATATTTGCCAATAACAGCTTTCGTGGCGAATGAGAAAAAACTTAATAAAGTAATTCTAAAGCCTTAATATATCTCAGTGATCACGTTTTTCATTTTGCTTCATAATTTGCCAACATGTTAAAGAGAATACTTCACATTCGTTTGGGCAGACCTGATATTAAGTTTCATGACTAGAGTCTAAGTCGTATTCACTGGTAGCCACTTGCACGACTAAAAAAAAATTAAAATTTCAAGTCCTGCATGCTGATTTCAAGTTTTGCATGGTGATGTTACAGCAGGCGAGCAAGATATGACTAAAACAGTTCCTCACTATTCCACTGGGCCCACAGAAGTTTAGACGTTCTATCACTATGGCTCGGATAATTCTGATTTTGTATTCCTTGTTTCCAAGGCATCTTTCGTTCGATTCGGGCATTTGTTCTTTTGCATATCCTTTCATCGTTGTCTAGTAGCTCTAGCTTCAACTCAAGCATCCCATGTAAAGAAGGGAATCTGCAATCTTGTGTTTCTTACTAGGTCAACGCAGGAGAGAAAACTAATACTGTTGTAACTTTACATACAGCCAATGAGCAAGTTAAGCCATGATATTACCACAGCCACTGCAAAGCTGAATGGTCTGTCGTTTATACAAGAAATTATATTTGCCACCAAGGAGAGAAGTTGCCGATGCCATTGTGCAGTGAAGTCACTTGCCCGCAACAAGTAAAAATCATTACGGGCAAGTAGATGTTGCTTCTTGGTTGCCCGATCTGGCAAGTTGTTTTAATGTTTTGCCAGAAATTACAGTTAAAATACATTACTATACAGTAGCTAAATCACAACACAGTTCTAAGCGGAAGTGGGACACTCTTTGTATTTTGACTGCAATAGCTGCATAAAATTGTTTGTTTGTTTTTATGCATTCTGTCTGTGATTTTTTATCAGTAAATCAGCTGAAATCAACACTTCATGACTCTGTTTAAAAAAACATAAGATTGAAATATTAATTAATCAATCTTTGATTAATCAATCTTCAAATTTTGCAAATATGTGAGTGCAAAACTATACAAAAGTTCTGCATCTATTTTCAGAGAGTAGTACATCCTTCACACCGCTGCTTTCTGCCATCATCTCAACCTACACTAGCACGGACTGTTCGAGATAACCACAACTTGACAGTTGTCAGATCGTTTTACTCGTTGTAAAAGCAGATATCTCTTTATCCCAAATTTCCAATCCTCTATATATGTCCACCTGGCCGAAATTACGACAATTCATGCAGAAACGAGTGCTTCCTTCTTTCATACTAAAAATACCCATGATGCCCAATGAGCAGGGACCGGTTGTTAACACTATTTTGTAATTAAATAGTAGTTAACTGTAAAATACGCGATTTTGATTGGTTAACTTTCGCACTAACTGTAGTGCAATTTTTTTCTATGTCGTGTATTTGCAATGAATGTGTTCAAAACCGAAAATCGTTTTGGCGTACTGTACCTCTCAAAATGCTTTTAGCTTTATTCTCTAGTTCATACAGTTAGCTGCCTTTATAAATACATTTACCGGTTGAGAAACATAAAATAATAGGGAAAATGTGTCAATTAAAATACAATTATCAATGATGCTTTAACAGTGACGTTGTATTTACAGCAATATAAGCTGAACTTCAGAGTTCAGAGATGATTTTCTCTTTGGCATACCATCTAATATCTCTTCATTTTAGCATTATTTTACAGGTAAAGCACTGGACATACTTTTTAAGTGTGTTTGCCGATTGAGAAACGTATCGAAAAAGAAAGATTTTGAATGAACCGCAAGTGGTATATCATACTATTAGTTTTGAGCGCGTGTTACGTCACAAACAAAAAAAATCTTGTCTTAAAGGGGCAGTGTCACCGATTTTGACCCTCGCAAATATTTAGGAATCTTGCACAAAACCTAAAAACACTGGTTGTAAGAACAACATAAAACAATAACAAATACAAAAAGCATGTACAGGAGTCTGGATGGTCAAGGATTGAGATCAGTGGATTGTAAATGACATCTTGATTAATTGTTGGCAGACACTTTTTCAAGTTTAGGTCAATTTGTATGATACTGTCGTCTTACAGGTTGTGTGGAAGTTCAAAGTTGTTTAATATGACTTGTATATCATAACTGAACCTATTTACAATGTTTATTTTCAAATTCGTAGTTCAGACTTTGAACGTCTTCAAAGACATATTTGGTCAAAAATTGGTGACACTGCCCCTTTAATAACTATTTTTTATACAACTGGCCCCTGTTGTAAGGTCGATGGCCCCTTCGAGGACATTCTCTTCTGTAATTATCTGGTTTGCCACGTCTTCAACAGCCATCTTTTCCCCAGCTATACTGTACCACATCGTTGTGTTCACTGCCAAATTCCAGCTCCCATGACGTCATTCATTTCTTCAATGTTTCTAAATTTCGTCTCTCAAGCCATATTCAATACTTAAGCATGTTGCAACAATGGCTCAATCGCATTTTAGCATGTATGGAGGCAAATTAATGAACTGATCATGACTTAATGAACTAGTCAGTGGATCGAGATACAATCAAGGTCATCGGATCTACTGTATATTCAAATGTAAATAGGAATGGACCAAAAACTTATTGGAATAATTATAGTTTCCTATCGGAATTACTAGAAGGAAATTTCCTATTCCTATACAATCTTATCGGAATTTGTGCCAAAATCTAATTCCTATGTAATAATTGTACACAACGAAAATAATCAGACAACCTACACAATGAAAATAATTAAGTGGTACACAATAAAAATTGCTAGACAGCAACAAATTTAAAATTTATAGATACCTGGCTTTTCTTTACTGGTTCTCTGATTGCCATTGGCTGATTGAGAAGAAGCAGTAGCATCTACGTATAAAACATAAATTTATAAATAATGATTGACAGCATTTTTTTATTGTAATTGTATCGCATCGCATATACACACTGTCACTGAATCACTGTCATTGATTCAACAGGCTATTTCTATTATAAACAGGCTTTTGTTGGTAGAGATGCAACTGCCTGAGATCTATTTCAACGTTTCGAGTGAAAGCCCTTCGTCTGGAGTTGCAAGCAAAGGGCCCTTCGTCTGGAGTGTTTCTATTATGGCAAGATCATATAAATATCTGACAGTCCATCTCCAGTTGACTAAAAATAGTACACTTCAATTGTAATTCCTAATTAAATTAAAATTGAAATGCTCTGTGAATTTCAGGCAGATTCACATGTGGAAATGATAGTATACAGAATTTTCCATTGTTTATATGGAGGTGAGCCAGTCTAGGTATCCAGCCTCGCCTGTTTTGGCCAAGAACCATCCATTGTTATCCCCCAATTCCATCTTTTTTATATGAGCAGCATTGTATTTGCATGTGAGAAGTCAGCCAAACTGAATACCTGAGTATTTTTCATATGGATATTCTGTTATTCACCTACTGAACAATGTCATATGGCATTAAAAATGACATTTTGTAGACAGGATTTTGATCAATTGTGATTGTCTCTGTGGGTCAAACTGTGAAACTTGCTCACTAAACTGCAATTTCATGTTTGTTAGAAAATGTTTTTTTTTATTAATTTATTATTACTAGTGTCCACTAGCCAGGTACATAGGAATGTATTCTGTTTGGTTGAGCAACAATTCAGCAAAGTAGCAAATTTAATTGCCCAAATTCCTTACATTTCTGCAAATTCATTCGAAATTCCTTTGTTATAATTGTTGTTTATAAACAAACATTTCACTGGACTTTGTGAAAGTCTACAATGTAGGTATGCTAAACATTTACGACGATTATCTCACTAACACATTAGCTAGCTTGCTTAATCCTCTAATATTCAGGGACCGGCTGTATGCAAGCGAGACAGAATTAGTGCTATCCACTGCATAGCATTTCAAGTGCATTTACAACAGGGGTCAGTTATACAAAGCCAGATAGTGCTGTCCACTTAAATAGTGATTTTTCAAGATTTCTTAAATTGGCCATTGATATGTATTTAAAGTTTAAGTGGAAGTCAAGTCTGTAATGTAAACAAACGGTTTGTTTACATTTTGAACTGCTGTATTTTTTAAAATATGATGTACTGTCTGAATATCTAACACCATTTTGGTTTGCTATGCTTCTAAATGAATATGAAATAGAGTTTATGTTCAGAAAAATTCGAAACATTCGAAATTTGGGCAATGTTCACTTTAGAGGGTCCTCACATTGTTATGAGCAGAACCCATGCGATTAACCAAATTAAAGAGGCCCACCAAGGGGTTATGACAGACAGGCGACATTCCTTAAAAAGAGGCGACAGACTATCTAAAAAAGGGCGACAAACGACAGCTTCTGGACTGTGAAAAAGCGACAAATTGCAATTTGTGTTATGGGTCAAAAGTGACAGCGACATTTATTACAATAAAACAAGCGACAAAGCGGCTACAAAATTGGTGACAAGCGACCTAGGTTACACCCTTGGTGGGCCTCATTAAACTTCAGTGTATAAAAGTTAAAGTTTCCTTTTATTTTGGGATCAATATATGTAGTTTTATCACTTTTCAAGCATTTTTATAACAATAGAAAAAGATCATTATCTAATGTATAGCGCACGCTGGCCTTTGTACAACCAACCCCTGGCAATAGGCATCAATGGGTCATTCCTGTAAACATCCGTACCTCCCCCATGGAGGAAATTGAAAGTTAAACTCCCTAGATGTCCTAATACATTTACTATTATCAGAAACAAATTTTTCTCCCCTCCCCTCCAGTCGGCAAAAATTTCCTCCTTGGGGAGGAAAACCCATGAGCCAATTTTGTTTTTCTAATTCTAAGCCTTGGTCAAATGAGGATGTGAACAGTCAAACACAAGCAGGAGTTGCAGTTATCACCTGAACTCTTATCTTCATTTGACTAGGGCTTTAACCCATTGAGTGGCAGCACTCTCCACCTGACGAGTAAAATCGTCTGGCATTAGACAGTCGAGTAAAATAATGAAGTAGGGCGCATCTGGGCGCATTGCCACTTAAAGGGTTAAATTAAATCCATCAAGTTGCATTGTGCCCAAATGTGCCCTACTTTTATTATTTTACTCTGCCTAACACCAGATGATTTACCTCATGAAGGGGAAAGTGGGTTAATCAGACTATCTGCCCATATGTGTCTAGTTAACCCATTTTAAAAGTTGCATTGCACCCCAATGCACCCTACGTTATTATTTTACTCTGTCGAATGGTAAGACGGTTTTACTTGTCAGGAGGAAAGCACTGGTACTCATGGGTTAACTTATTAACTTGTGGACAAGATATAATATAAAAACAAATCGTCTGTTATTCAGGCTAGTCCAGGAAGATGCAAATTCTCAGAATTATTCGAACATTATTAAGTAACTGATTTTTAGTTAACAACAAAATATTTTAAATTTTAGAAAAATTTGAATATAAACATGGGAATATAAATTCCATGTAAAGGTTGGATAAAGGTCAACTGAGATAAATTGTAAAAATTCACCAGATCTTGTGGAGTCAAGTATACAATAATACAGTAGGTGCTTGAAATAATTGTTACACAAAAAAATACAAATAACTTACATAAATGAACACATCCGCTTTCTAATAATTTCAATAGGTTTTGTATTCAACAGTGTTTGAAAGAAATTCGTGTTGAAATTCGAACACAAGCCAATATCTAGCGAATGCCCAAATGGCTTTATATTCCCCGCAATTGTAAAATGAAATTTCCCCTATATCAAACGTTCGACTCACTTTGGTCTTCGACTGAATATGTAATTTTGTTACAATAGTGTTTATGGCATGCTATTTATAAAGCAGGTTTTGATGCCTCGAAATGTCAATGCCTGCAATCGCATCTAATACTCGCCACTCGCGGCCAAATATATTTTTTAATGAACACGAACATATAAATTTCTTTATTTTCAAATCAAAAACCAGGCTTAGCCAGCCGTTATAATCTGTGATATTAGGGCTCCTACTATGAGACACGCAGTACAAGTCATTAAAAACATGATCGTTTATAGTATATGCCATAGATATGTCGATGAGTCGATGGGGGTTTGCAATATTTTGATGCTGTCAAACACACAAGTCAACAACACAATATGTAACAATTCTTTTCTAAATTTACATTTGTTCTTATTAATACCAACCTCGACTATCACCAGATGATTCCATTGTTGTGGTTAGATATTATTTTGTCCTCTCACTATTAATCGTGTTTTAAAAGCACTTCTTGACTCAGTGCATTTGAGTTGTAGACTCCATTTATAATACTATCTGCTGCATACTAAATTATATCACATTTGCAGATGAACAGCACATTTGTCAACGGTGTACGACAGCAAATTTTTAACTTAACCAAGCAGACACGACTTTATCCGATACGGAGAAACATTCTCTGTCATATCACAAGCATATAACAGGATTTTCAATAAAATATACCAACAAAATGCCAAAATATAACACAAGCGAAAGAGATATATACATACTACATCTGCCTGCCATCAGCCCGAATATATGCACATTGCACAGTGTGTTCTATTTTTAGACTCTGCCAATGAGTCAACACCTTTCAAGGTCTTTCAACTCAGTGAGTGAACTGATGCTCGACATCCTAATAAGTAGGGTATTTTTCATCATTTGTGACTAATTTTAAGGTGTTTCGATTTCTTAGCACTATAAAGTTTCACTAAGTAAGATTTTGGAGCAATGACTTGCCAAAATAATGATCCCAACCTGCGAACAGGCGAAGGGAAAGTCAAGTGTTGAAGTCAAATCCTAATTGTCGACTCGAGTCGTCCTCATCTATCGTTAAGTTTTTCCACTTGAATTTTGTTTCTGTTGTGGAGACGATGTTCTAAATCCTTATAGCAACCGTGGTTGCTGCCACGTATGCAAGATCATAATCGCAATATCCAGATTCCCCCAAAAATCCGAAAAATTGGAAACAAGAAGCTCACTCTCTCTGTAAAGGCTGGTTTACACCTCCAAAGAAATCTCCCATATTTCTCACTCTCTCTTGAAAACCAGGTCTGCATAGCCGGCCACCAATTGTTCAATCAATTGCGGAGGGTGCATTGGGTGCACCAAGAAATCTCCCATATATCTTCGGTCGGCCACGTGCCCAGATAACTGAAGAACGTTCTTAAATATTAATGGTCAGTACAAAAACTAATTCAAAATTTATTACTGGTTTACCAGGCAGGCATTAAGTACTGATTAAAGTTGAACAGGATTAACGTTGACCTGTTATAGGCCTACTGTGTGCTTGCGTTCAGCTAGTATAAATTTAGCTTAAGAATTAGATTAATATGACGCCATTAATGTTCTGGAAACCGCTTTCATCCTTGCTCTCAAACATTCCTTTTGCTCAATCAGGTTTTGTTCCAAATCAAGTGCCTGTTTTAAGATCTCGTCCAGTCTGGCTGCACAGCATGCTTCAAACTCTTCACTTTCACTATAAAAAGATAGATGCGTCATAAATTTTGAGATCGATCATCGAAAATCCTTCTTTCAAAACATTGTTCCAATATTAATATACTTGAAGATAGCTACAAAGTTTCATAATCATTAACCAGTATATGTAACGTAAAAAGACTCTGGCCATGGTAGGAAGTATCACAAAATCTAGCAGATTAGTTCTAATTAGCATTGTTACAATTGTTGACAATTTTTTGTGTGTCCCAATAATCATCTCCCAAGAGGGAAGACCAGCGTAGCCTGTGTACAGCCGAGACCAGCGTAATTTCAATAACGGCATTTGAACTCACCCAAAAAGTGGCATCCATTTCACCACTGACATTTTAGCATCGTGCCCAAGTTCTAAAATTGTAAAAATAAACCCCAAAACTGACAAAAGATACATACACATGAATTCCATACAAGTCCTACATATTGGTTTGGCAGACGGGCAACGGTTTCTATTGCACTTGTGTACGTACAAAAAATTTTCTATGACAAGTTTTGGATTTTCTGACCGCCACGATAGCTATTATATTCTACTACAACAATACTAGGTCACTGACCAACCGCTGCATGCAAATGCTCAAATTATTTTGGCAAATTTTCTTTGTTGACCCGCACAGACGAACAAGATTTGTACTTTGCCATTTGCCAATTTTTTCTATGACAAGTGCACTGATGACTGACTTGCACAAAAGCCAGCAAACTAGCTAGCATACTATCTTGAAAAAGTGTATTTGTCATGGTACAAAATTACAAATTGGCAAAGTTGCCTATACAGGCGAGCCAACTATAAAACTTGTCATATGAAAACTCGTCAACTGAGAAAACTTGCTCGTCTGTACATGTAACCGGCTTTAGATAAAATCTGGGTCATGAATGTGTCACAGTTCCATGCAGTGTGAGTGATTCGAGCAGTATATATACTTGGCATTAGAGCATAAAAGAATTTCGACGTTTCGAACGGCCCAGCAGTGAAGAGTCTTGTCATGTTTCAGTATCTGGCTCGATCTTGTAATCCCTCAAGCAAATATTTAGCAAGACCTTAAGATTCACGTATTCAAGACCTTAATCCGTTATCGTCCAGTGGCATACTTCAAATCAATTAATGTGAGGACAATGGTAAGCCGTTAGAACAATTTGTACATTAATGATTGAAACGTACAGGGTGTATCAAAAATTGTACACCCTTTCAAATTCAAATTAGCCATTAAGAGTCGTTGCTCTGCAGTAAGCTGCCCCATTTTATTATATCTTATGCAGACTTGAATAATGCTTAAATTAAACATTTCTCTTTGAGTTGTGTATTTGTTCATACAAATACTAGAAGTTACCCTAAATTCCCATGTGCAGAAGACCTTGTGTTTTCATGCATTCATTAATTCGAGAAATCATACGACTGTCAAATTACTACAATAGATTACGGTTAATTTGAATTTGAAAGTGTGTACATTTTTTTGATACACCCTGTACATTAGTTGACTTTTAAGCCGGCTTTCCACTTCAACCGTATCGTATCGTAGCGTATCGTAGCATTTTCTTTTGTGTCGAAGTCATTAGTTCCACTCTATAGTGGTCAGGAAACAAAGAAATACGCTTCGCTACGATACGGTTGAAGTGGAAAACCGGCTTTAAAGCCGGTTTTCCACTTCAATCGTAACGTATAACGTACCGTAGCATTTTCTTTTGTGTCGAAGTCATTAGTTCCACTCTAGTGCTCAGGAAACAAAGAAATACGCTTCGCTACGATACGATTGAAGTGGAAAACTGGCTTAAAAGCCAACCGTATCGTAACGTATACTGTAGCATTTTCTAGTTGTGTCGAAGTCATTCGTTCCACACTACCGCTCAGGAAACAAATAAATACCCTACGTTTCGGTACGATCCGATTGAAGTGAAAAACTGGCTTTAGCCGCGGAAAACGTGTGGAGGTTGCCGTTTACTGCAGTTACTCAGTTAGCGACCGGGTTTGCCGTAAACGTGAATCTTATTAATGTCCCTATTAAAATGAAATTGTCCTTCAGTAGTATGTTATACGTTAGATATAAATTAAGGTTGAACGTTAAGTGGGATGAGGCGGAATTTTTTATGAACTTTGAAAATTCCACATCCCAAGACAAGAGTAATTTGGCAAAACCGCAAACTGAATTGACGTTGGAAAAATGCATAAAAAATAGGTATTAAGTTATTTAAATTAAATCGAAAATTCCAGATTTATTTCCAAATCACGTTTCCGCATTCCCTTGTCCTTGAGCAGTAAGCAAAATATCAGTTGCATATTCCACAAACAAAAAGAGAAAGAATTCCAGATACCAAAAGTTTGCTTCATCGCCCGAGTTAAATGTTTTAACATAATTAAATTTATATTGAAATATATTGTATTATTGAAATTGAGCCGAGTAGCTACTGTTTGATAAAAAAATATAATTAGCCTTCCAGGCCCAAAAGAGATCACAGTGCATTCTGGGATCGTTTGGTCAGTTTGGAGGGACAAAATATATGGAGACAGGCGTCAAATATGTGAAAGAGTAGAAGTATCTACTATCAAATATCAACTTTTTACACCAAAAATGAAATATCTCCTTTTTACATTAAACATTTTTAAAATTTAAATGTGCTGCCATACTTTCTTGTCCCTCCAACAAGGGATTCGCGTGACTAGACCCAGGACGTTGGGAAATGGCTAATTGAGTTTTCTTTCGATATTTAGAAACGATTGTCGACTGAGAGATCGTGACTGAGAAAAATAATTTATTTCAGATTTCTGCAGTGGAAATAATTTATATGCAAAATAAAATGAAGAACATACTTCGCAGAGTTTCATCCATTTTTGGCGCACTGTTTCTATCTGACATTGAATTATTTCCTGTCTTACAAGCAGATCCCATGAAGTTTTCTATAAAAAAGAAAGCTTTTCCTTAGGCGACTCAGATAGATAATAAGTATATGACTTATAAGACTGGAGTGATTGATTACTTATTAATGAATAATAGCGAATTCATATTAGGGACGGGAAACTCGTCTTATAGACGGGAAACTCGTCTGTCAAAACCGGTCTGAATATGAATTTAGGGACGGATAAATTCGAACTTAAGACGAGTTTCCCGTGTAGATGGGATTCCCGTCTAACTTTCCCGTCTGTTTGGACGGGTAAGTTAGACGGAAAAGTTCGGACGGGAAACTCGTCTGCCCCCGGATTCTTATTAGACGAGTTTTCCGTCTGAGACGAGTTTCCCGTCTAAGACGAGTTTCCCGTCTAAGACGAGTTTCCCGAATGACATCTATCTAAGGAATAATGACCAGGACAGCTGAGACAGGTGGCAGAGCGGGTAACATGTAATTTGCCGTTAAACTGTATAGGCGGACCCATTTTGACAAGGACGTCAAAGAGGGGCGTTCCAAACTCTCGTTCATGTTAAGCAGTGTTACGTCATTCTCGGGGTGCAAAAAATGGGTGTTCCAAATATAGAGGTTTTTCTGTTTGTTTGTTTTTTAAATTATATGTTGCCAAAATTAAAGATTCACTCTGCATCCCTGCGTCACTGAGGCCAAGTACTGTGTATGTATACAGACGATATACATGAAAACGTACAACATACCGAAATATTATGCAAATCAGAGTCGGTGCTTCGGAGATTAGTCCAAAAACCATGACCAGCCGACAATTTAAAAAAATAAAGTAAAAAGCAAATTCCGAAAATACAGGACATCTTGAGAATTCAATATATAATTCAAAACAAGACGCAGTTTGAGACTGTAAATTTTCGACTTTATTTCAAAGTCATCTTTCTGTCATACCGAAATATGGTATACGTATACCGTATTTACTCGATTGAGCGCCGCCCCGAAATGCGCACCGTACTAATTATTTTCAAATGCGGCACTTAATCGAATCCCTTTCAATTGCGACGAATTTACGTCTTCTTATGTCGAAGAGGCATATCCAACAATGGTTATGATGCAGCAGTTGGACTCGGATCATGAAGAGACAGTGACATTGATATTTTGTGAACTTGTAAACAGTGCAAAAACTTTCCGCCGTCAAAATGGGGGACATTTATTGACAAAGACATTTAAAACTAGTTTATTTTATTCGGTTAAAAGTTCTTGTTATAATTCACAAATAAAATATTTTTTTAAACAGTGCCGCCCCCGATTGAGCGCCGTCCCCGAATGAGCGCCGCATCTGAAGCTCTGAAACTGTAAAGAGCGCCGCGGCGCTCAAACGAGTAAATACGGTATGTATGTATGTAAAACTTTATTTCAATACGCTAACTTCGACAATTATTTACAACTGGTTTCCACGAAGGGCGTATACACACAAAGAGCTAAATGTTAACTATATATAGAACAAAATATGTAAGAATCCCACCCTAAAATTTTATCATCTTCCTCCCAAACCTCTGCCCCCTAAACAAGTACCCACCCACCCTCACGCAAAACTAACCCCCCTCCCGCCCACAATCTATATTGTCCTCCCATCATTTGGTCCTGGAGAAATTAGCTTATCATCTGCTTAAATGCAATTTAGCCATTGTTTTAAATGACGTAATTGACTCAGCCGCCTTGACATCTTGCGGGAGACTATTCCATAGAAGTGCTCCACTGTATCCAAATGTTTTCTTTAGAAATTCCGTTTTCGGTTTTTTTAACGAAAGATCAGTTTCGCTATTGCGTAAGTCATAAATATTCTGCGATGCATTTCTCCGAGAAAAAAGATCTTTAAGGTTTGGCGCAGTGTGGTTCCCCAAGACTTTATACATCAATACTAGCTTGTTTTGTTCTCGTCTCCTAGCCAGGGTCCCCCAGCCTAATTTGTTTAGGACTTCAGACGATCTTACATCGTAGTCAGCTCCGGTAATCACCCTTGCTGCTCGATTTTGGAATTTTTGCAATTTGTCTTGAAGTCCCAAACCACAGTTATCCCACAGGGGAGAACAGTAATCAAAATGAGGCTGAATTAATGTTTTGTAGACATCATGTAAGGTTTTGTGTGGAACATAAGGTTTTATTCTTTTAATTGCTCCTATTCCAGCGCTAATCTTATGGCATACAGAATCAATATGTTTCTCCCAACTTAATTTTTCATCTAGATTTACATCTAGACATTGAAATGTATTGGTTTGTGGGACTGGGATTTTGTTAATCTCAACGGGTCTATTTCCTATTTTATTATTTAGATTATGCGTAGATCCAATAAACATGACTTTTGTTTTTTTTCCTATGATATTTTAGTTTGTTTTTAGCAAGCCATTTATGAATACTGGAAAGGTCCATATTCAAATTGTCAATCAAATGTATCGTAATCATGCGAAGAGGAAGATATCTGAGTGTCGTCGGCATAAAGACATGGGGTTGTCCTTTCTAAAATGTCAGGCATATCATTAATATATAGCAAAAACAATAATGGACCAAGTATGGATCCTTGCGGAATTCCGCATATTATTGTTCTTGCAGAAGAAGTTTGATCATTAACAGAACACACTTGCTTTCTATTCCTTAAGTATGATTGAAACTATTTTAATTCAATGTCGTGAATTCCAAACTGGGTTTTAAGCTTCTCCAATAATATCTCGTGATTCACCGAGTCAAATGCTTTACATATATCAAGAAAAACAACTCCATTTATTTTGCCTTCATCCATGTCTTGTAGCCATTGATCACACATTTGTATAAGAGCACCTAAGGTTCCATGTTTTGGTCTAAACCCGGATTGAAATTTAGACAGAAGCGCATGTTTATTCAAAAAGCTATATATTTGAGTAAAAACTTCCCCTTCAAATATTTTACTTATTATGGGAAGAATTGAAATTGGTCTATAATTTTCGCATTTACGCTTATCCTCAGATTTGTAAATTGGTATAACTCGAGATCTAGCTAATTTCCACTCATCTATATAAATACCAGTTCTAATCGATAGGTTAAATATAAAAGTCATAGATGGAGCAATAAGGGTTGATGTCAGTTTTAAAATATTCGCAGGTATTCCATCCATACCTGTCGCTTTTGAGACATTTAGTTTTTGTAGGCGTTTGGAAACACTATCTATAGTAATATCTGCGAAGTGAAAATTTTCTTTAGGAAGAAGCACAGTACTTTCATAAATTACTTGATCATTTAAAGCATCAGTGCTTTGACATGCTGATTCAGCAGCCATCTTCATTCCAATATTTATAAAATATTCATTTAATGTTTCAGTAATAGATTTATCATCAGAAATAATATCATCATTTACTTTCAGTTCATTAATATTTGCATTCTTATGCTTTCTTCCTAAGAGCGAATTTATCCAAGCCCGGATATCCGCTTTTACTGTCTCCCATTTGAGAGCTTGCCTGAATTTTATCACAAAAGTACTTAGATTTTGCTTTCCGCATGTTTATATTTACTTCATTACGTAGTGTTTTATACAATTCCCACTGTGACTCCGAATCATTATGGTAACGTTACGTAAGGACAAGCCACCTAAATACAGTATACATGAAGCTACATGAGATAGCTACAACGAAATACGGAGACTTGAAGGTGAATACAGAAAAGCGCGCCGGCGAGCTTAGGGATTGGTCACTACTCACCCCCTGGAGAAATGCTTGTGCTATTTTCTGCAGTCTAAAGTTTTATGTTGTCTGCACATGTAGTTTCTTTGAGACATCATTTTGCCTCCTCGGAAAGTGATCAAGATAGTGACTCTGATTGATTTACAAATTGTACTACTCTGATTGATTTACATATTGTCAGTCTGGGACCAGAGCTGGTATATGTTTTGATATACGGTATACATGGGTGAAGTATATTGAAATACGGTACACACGACCAACTCTACCAACAAACATACATGGGATAAGGAGGACCATCGCTTCGCAAGGGGTACTCATTTAGGTTGGGGTTCCTGAACCATCATTGGGGTTCCTGAACGCCCATTTGTGAGTCAAAGGGCACTCTCATGTAGCATTGTTTTTGTTGTTTCAAAATTATGACGTCGTGGAAAGACTTGCAAAGGCGCCTGGTATTGGGCAGCTTTGGCAAACACAGCACGACGTCGACGTAATGATATGGTTTGGTAATTAGGGTCTGCATATGAGTAGGGATTTTTGCTCCCAGTTTAGTCTATAGGATCAACGTCGTTTACGTTGTGTTTTGAACGGTATTTAAGGTGCTTTTACGTCCTGTCTATAACGTCACAGACTTATGTGTTTTAAAAAAGCAGGAAAGTATCCAGGACCACGGCGAAAAGTTCTTTTTTGTTCTCCATGTCTTAATATACAGTCTTAGTAATTGGATTTACTAGTTTTGTGTCGTAATATTTCCTGCGTTTTATGCTTGTTCATTTACTTTCATCGCCATAACAATAACAATAACAATAATAATGCTGATTATCTCTTGTAGTTAGAAAAACTTGGGTGAATATCTTAATGTTTTCGTGGATGCATTTATACACTCCATGCGGGGAAGGGGTCCATCCAAGGTCCATAACAGCAGATTTTCTTTAAATTTTGAAATTGATGTGGTATGTGGGATTTCCATACAAACTGACACTGTACCCCTCAAAATCTGCTTAGGTCACAGAACCCATACGGGAGTATGAGGACCCATATGATAATGACGGGCTTGCATGTCCCAAGGGACGGACTTTGATTTTCTTGGCTGCAGTGCCCTGGGGAGGCCGGGAGGGCCGGACCTGTTGACCACTATTTTGACTGAAAACCAGATGGTAAATGCATGGGGCGAGCACTTTGATTTTACTAGTCAATAGAAGTGAGCTCCATGGCCATGCATATATGTCTCGAGCGAGAACTCGAGTTCAAAAAGTGAGATGTCAGAAATTGAATTCGTCAGTTCCATGGGACGTCAGTTCCATGCAGTCCTTATCAATTGATTGTTTTCATCTACGCGGCTGGCACGAAGCTGACAAAGTCAACGGAGTGTGCCGAAATTTCGTATGGTATTACGAATGTATAGACTGGTGTTTGTATCAAGTTGTTTTCTTTTTTATATTCTGCAAAGATGATTCCGAAAAAACTATCGAATTTTTCCACGTTGTTTTACAGAGAAACTTCACAGCTGCAATGGGTGGGGGGGGGGGCATCCCCAAACGAACATATGACGTTTAGTCTCGTGGACAAAATCGATATGTGAGGCTTCCCTTACAATTTATACTGAATTTCGTTGTTTTAGGAGTGTCTAGATGGGGGTACCATGTATCGTATTTGAAAACAGCAAAATCTAAAGTTTTCTCAAACAGTAAAAGTTTAGTTCCTTTAACACTATACAATTTAGAAAAGGAGGAAATAAGTTATTACAATAAACCTTATTCAAGTCCTCATTTAGTCTTTTCAGGTCAAAATTTCGGACAATTAGCCAGTTTTTGCCTCCTCCCCACCCAACGAATTTCCGACATGTTGTGTTTAGAAAGTGCCTCAGCCTGTGTCATGAAATATTAATAAAAAAAGCCCTGATAAACTAGAAAAAAAATAAGGCTATATAAAACACGCGTACCTGAGTTATAATTTTGCTGTTCAAAACTACCTTCTGCTGGGTTTAATGTTTGGTTTTTGTCCTGAAAAGAAAATAATAACTTCAAGCAAACAGATATGCGTACAAAATACATATTCAACGGAGAAGCAAACCTACCCTATACGAACTTTTGAGTTTCTTGGCCGAGTCGTTTGACTGCTCCACCACAGAGTCAACGTTATTTCCCACTACTCTTTTTCCAGGAGTCATTTGTGACTGTGGCATCGAATCGTTAAAATTTCCAGCAAAATTCATCTAGATTTCACTGTGAAAACAGCAGTAATATAGACTGCAAACAAGTATTATATTTAAATTTTTCAAAGACAATTTTTTAACGCTTAGATCAATTATTTTTCACGTATTATAGAATACGTTTAACAAACATACCTTTTCCAACTTTTTTTTGTTTATAAGGTAATATAGTTAGGCCAGTTTTTACTTTTTACACCATTTCTGAGCTCAAAACCGAGAAAAACAAAAAATATAGTTTATTGGTTTTCGATGTTCATGTTTTCCAATTTTCCCGCCAAAACGTGCTTCGCTTGAAGGAGCCTGGGCAGTGGGCCCAACTAAACCAAATTAAAGGGCGAAAAACAAAAGTCGAAAAAGTATTGGCATCATTTATTGCACTGATAACTTGGACTGGAATATAACTCCAATGTTGTTATCGTGAGTGGTGTAGACTTTTGATTTTCTATTACAAATAGCTAGCTCAGAGCAACGTACGGTGTGGTGTCACCAAAAGTGCAAAATCTATATATTTGACCTATTTGACATTTTTCTACAAAGGTTTTAGTTGGCTGAAACTGAGTATAATTTGCGCAACTGGCCTCATGATCACTTTTCGAAAGTTATGTGTTGTCTTTAGCCTGATTCCACGAGGCGGAATTTTTCGACCGAAACGAAATTTGTCTTTGTCTTTTTACAATTAGTTCTGCTTGAGAGCTCATGAAACAAAGAGAAATTTTGTTTCATCGATCGAACCGAAATTTCTATTGTTCAAATTCAAAAGATTTCTGTTTAGTTCATAGAAATAATAGACATCTATAGATATCTATTATTTCTATGGTTTAGTTTCGATTCGGTCGAAAAATTTCGCCCAGTGGAAAACCGCCTTAAAGGCCCATTTCCACTCAGGAAACTTTTCCGCAGAAAGAAAATTTTGTAAAATGTGATTGGCCGACACAAATTTTCCGTCGGATATAATATTTTCGGAAAGTTCACTGGGGCCCATTTCCACTCGAGAAAAATTTCTACGGACAGAAAATTTTCCGAAAATATCATTGTTACATTGAAAATTTGTGTCGGCCAATCAAATTTTTCTTTCCACGGAAAATTTTCCTGGGTGGAAATGGGCCTTTAATCACTGACGACTCTCTCCTTGATGAATTAACCATGGTGGATTTCAGCAAATCTACACGGGAGTCTAGTGGGGGGGGGGGGGGGGGGGAATTCTATGCAAGCTGGAGAAGACGGTTAATTAAGGGTTTACCTAAACAGCTTGAAAAACTCGAATTTTTGTTTTGTAAAAAAATGAATACCTAAAGATGTTGTTATTCTTGTAGAAATGTTTTTTTGAACAAATTTGCAATAATTTTCGTTTACCAGCTCTGTTTAGACATGTTGTCAGAATTTTTTAAAACGTTGCCATGGTTACGGAAGGTGCCATGGTCTTGTTTTACATCTTTTTTCGCCGAATTATTCCACTCCCACCCCTCCCATAGGCAAAATAGATAGCAGGCTCATTCAACTATAATATGGCAGCGGCTTCACAAAAAAACTATGCATATTTATCGTTAAAATTGAGAATTTGATGAAGAAATTGATTTGTATATGTTGTGAGATTTAAAACGTTCTAATTTCGGAATTATCTGCTTTCAAAAATGCCTGGAAAGAAACAAAAGACAAAGTATAATAAAAAGAGGAATAAAACATTCTCTGGAGTTGCTCGTGGGTGAAAAATCGCGACGAGTCGGCAATGTCTGAGGAGAATAACAACCTCGATCCTCGATCAGCCATCAACAAGCACATGTTCTCAGGATTCAACTAACGATTCTGATCAAACCTCCACTTGTTTTGGAGCATCCAGACAAAAACTTGGTGAAAGAGCTCTTACAAGTGATAGCATAGAGATTTCGGATGACGAAGTTGAAAATAATGACGAACTGAACACCCTTGGTTATAGGCTAATGTAATCGACACAAGTATTTTATCTTCAGCACTATCAAATATTCACAGATGTCAAGAAGGTATGGAATACATATTGTTTTATTTTATATGCATTTACACCATAAAACTTGGCATATAAATGGTCTGAATGATATTTTTGAACAATGCCCATGATAACATTTTGTTTTATTATTATAATATTTATTTTAAAACCATTGTCTACATCAATATGAATGGACACCAGCTTACAACGTACAACTATTATTTATTTTAGGTGAACTTTGTCTCCGGGAAAATACTTCTTCGAGGGCTGGATAGATGCCTGGTTTTTCTATCGAGTGTACCTCTTGCAACACCACTACACCTATGGCAACGTCGGCTACAATCTCCAATCGAGGAAGATCATTTGATGTAAATAGACAGGCTGTATATCACTCATTGGAAACTGGTGGTGGATACGAGTCGTTATCGACATTTTGTGGAATAATGAGCATGCCATGTATTTCCAAGAAAGCCTATCAAGTGCAAGTAGATGTAATTCTGGAAGCACAACAGTCAGAAGCTCAGGCTGAATTAACGAAAGCAGGGAAAAAACTGTGTGATGTTCTGGTACAAGAAAGTGACAATGAACTAGCAACCGATGACATTCTAGATGTTACTGTTAGTTTTGACGGAACATGGGCCAAACGAGGGTTTACCTCTCTATTTGGTGTGTTAAATATCTCCCCTGGTAATCACAAATTGAAGTAAGACTTAAAATTGCATTAAATCACCAAAAAAATTTGTATATTTTTCTGCAAATGTTTAATATTAAGTTTCCAAAACTTTGAAGCCCATTTCCCGAAACACAGTACTTTTAGCCTTTGAGAAAGGATATCTCATCACCAATTCAACCAATTGACCTGAAATTTTCTGTGCTTGTGGAGCTGATTGTGATGATGGATTTGAGCGAGGGAAATTACCATATCTTGCATTAGCAGGAAGTATGGTAAAAAATTCTACAATATTTTTCCATCGAAAATTTCCTTCATTTTCAAAGTTGCACCATGGCCAAATGAAAAGCAACATTAAAAATTTGGTCGTTTAAATCCATCACCTACTTGTGTAGATTACAAAAATATTTGAACACAAAAAAAGTATTAAACTAGCCATGAGATATTTTTTCTCGACTAGGGGCATTTTTTACGAGCGCTTGGGTCAGATGTTTTTGCATCAAGCCTTGAGCAATTTTAATGTAAAGCATCTCAAAGTACATTTTTTGGAATCTTTGTTTTACAAGCTTTCTGTTGATGTATAATATGTTAGGGTTAATAAAAATACCCATGAATTACCATGTATTCAAACACGGTCGACCATTATTTGAACAGTTTAGGTAAACCCCCACCTTAAGCTTTGACCTTTGTTCAATTTTGTGCCTTTGCTTAAAAAATACACCATCTTAATTTTGGAAACCATAAATTTACTTAATTTAATTGGAAATTCGCATGTAGACTCATTCCCATACCGTGACGGAGGGTACCTATTTAATATCAAGTCAGGTTTCGAGCCAGGACTCGAGCTAGGACTCGAGCCAACGTTCTCACTCCCCTTAGATTTAGACTATTCGTTGACCAACAATGCGAAATGTTTAAGGAAATTTAACTGAATCTGAGGAATTGTTTATAGATAACCTAAGGAATGTTTACCAACTTGTTTACCAAATCAATTTCCCGCCTTTTCCCACCAGAGTCGATAAAAGAACTAAAGAACGATAGTTTATATTTGGTATATTTGTACATACAGAGCTGTCAATCTCATCTGACTTTGGCTAACTGTAACGGTTATTTCGGAAGACAGTGAATGAAATAAAAGTCAATACCACCATTGTTGTTTGTGTTTGATATATCGCACAAATATCGATATCCAAAAAAGGGAAATATCCGGCCAGTATTTTATCGAATTAAAACAGTTTGTATTGCCCATTACCAGCAGTCTCTCGATCTTTACAAAACAGATACTTGTTGCCGCTTAGCATTCGTCAAAGAGTAGGATAATTCTCCCTGCCCTGTTTTCCTGTAATAGATGCCAATATCACCAAACTTTATTATAGCCAGCGTGGCCGGCTCTTCTAAGGCGGAGAATTTGCCATGGGCCATGCTTGCCAACTGTATTATCAAATACACCCTTTCGATAATTACGTCACACATACTTTTTGGTCTTGAAACCTCGCTCTCATTGGTAAATCAGTTATACGCAAGGTGATTGGCGTAATTATCGAAAGGGTGTATTTAATTTGCTAGTAGTAGAACATTTAGCTAGCGTGCGTTAGGGGCGGACCATTAGAAATCCCGGGAGGGGGGGTGAAAATTCCCAAAAAAAAATTCGTGCAAAGGAAAATGCCTGGAAAAAAAATTCGTGCAGCCATTACGTCAGAGAAAAAAAATTCGTGCAAGCAAACAGCGAAGTACAAATAGTCTTGAAAAAAAATTCGTGCAGAGGTTAAATGCATTAAAAAAATTCCTGCAGAGACACGAGACTGAAAAAAAAATTCGTGCCGCAAAAATTTTATACCCCCCCCCCCCTCCCGGGATTTCTAATGGTCCGCCCCTTACGTCTTATGAAATAAAAATATTGGGTAATGGCAATTCCCCGTCTTTTCGCATTTTTTTAATCGAGTCCTTGACTCGAGTCCTGGCTCGAATCCTGACTCGAGCAATAGTATATCTCCTCACCGTGACGTTGTTCAATGCCATTTGTCAAAATGAACATAGCAGAACACAATGTCCGATGGGCACGCAATACTTATCCTTTAATTGGCACGATAGAAGTCGTTCCCACGTCATCCTCGCCATGTTGGTTTAATTCCAACGGAGGCCTCCCAAATTCTGCCTTATTCCCCTCGTTTATCATAATCCTAAGGCGGGTTATTTATTTCAGGCACCTTTGAGAGGGTCATTGGACAGCGACAGCTTCAAAGAAGAGGGTAGCCTGCGGTTTCAAGGGGGCGGGGCACAGATAGAGGGGGCTTATTGATTTTAACGAAATGTAGTAAAGTATAGCAACGCTAAAATCCTGGCCAACAGATTTTACGGTTTGTTGCACTTTTGCCCCCAATGGTCTCGTTATCTGAAAGTTGGGCCCAACCTCGTACCCAGGGTCTTTGCGCGGTTCAGAGGGAAACTCTAATCCTGATTTCCTAACCCTAATCTAATGTTGATCCAAACTTGACCTTTCTTTTCTCCTTTTGGCGTTCCCACTTATGTGCACTTATGACAATTGATGCTATTCATTTATTTATGGCGGAGACTGTGTTGGACTGGAACGAAGTCAGACCGGAATAAAAACAATCTCGAAACCAGAGCCCGCAATCCTCTGTGGAGCATCCACAGAGGACTGTGGGCTCTGGTTTCGAGATTGGAATAAAAATTGAAAACATGTTTACATGAGACCGGTCCGAAAATCACAAAATTTTCAATTTATTCCCCTTGTCAGGCAATGGTCTTTTTTAGATAGCTTTTGTTACCGTGTGTAGTTCCAATGTAAATGTTACTGCCGAGACCGGTCTGAAATGTATTTGTGTTTACATTCATCCCAGTCTGAATTCATGCCGGTCTGAAGTCAGTTGGCTCGGTCCAGCAGGCGGCATGACTTGAGCCGGTCTGAGTTATTTTCGTCTCGGTCTCATGCATGTAAAACATCTATATTATAATAGTATGACCGAAACGAAATGGTGGCGGTTTGACTTAACGGGGCCTTACATTCCCTTCCATAACAGAGACCTCTGTCAGCAGGGAATATATTCCCATGTTTCGTGAACAAATATGTTTCTCTTTAATAACCTTGATCCTGAGCACAAGCCTATTCAAATGCCCAATTCTTACACCTACTTGAAGAACAGCCATTGCGGTAAAAGTGGTATAGGCATGTGTGCCTTAATAGAGAGGGGGCTGGTACGTTTCTTTCTCTAAATGGGTGGGTGGGTGTGTGTTACAATTCTACAAAAAGACTATATTCTTCCATTCAAAAACTAAATGAACACCATCAATTCCAACTATATAGTACTTAGCGGAACAAAATAATTTAAACGCCAAGATTAACATTTATTCGTTGAAAGCAAGTCTATCAACATATACGAGTGTTAAGTGTTCTTCCCATGTTTCGTGAACAAATATGTTTCACAAATTGGAATGGAAATGTGATATTATAATATAAATTGTCAATCTTAAAAAAGAGCACGGCGAGATTATTTACATGATTATACTGTATTGGGATATTTCTGTTGTGCAAACGATTACATTTTACTAAATTTGTCTTTTTGTTCATAAATACTAACATCCAAATTAAAACTATACAATGTGCACGAAAGCACTGGAGCGATGTTGTTTTTGTTAAAAACCCACTTTTAAATAAATAGTAATACTGTAGTAGGATTCTGTCTTGTGACTATGTTATAACTAATGAAGTAAATTACCTACACTGAGATATCGATAAGTTGGTTACACATTATAGCGGGTATACTGATCTGGTTACGGGATACGGTTAGGTATCAGTATCTGAACGATTATGCTATAAAACTGAATCTTTTTTCCACTTTTTTTTACCACCTATAATAGTCGATAATGCTCTGTAGCATTTCCGATATCCGTCTATACCCTTTGATTCCTTCTAAATTAGAATTACATGTACATTCATGTATTCAGAGCATGTGGACCTCTTCTGGAACTACGTCGACTGAAAATTTCACGCTTCAGACCAATTCGTCTACAAGTGGATTGTTGTCTCACTTTAACATTGGCGAGTCGAAGAAATGATGAGGTCTTTTATTAGGACGTTTGCTTTTACTGCCAAATCTATAAAAGACAAAGATAAAGTTTGCTAGACAATCACGCCAATATAGAAAAGATTAGCAGCAAGCCATGGTCTCTGGTTACAAGGCAGATAGTAATCCCACATTTAAAACAAATTCATTTTTAGCGTACATGGAACCAGCGAACTCTATAAATACTGGAACGATGAATCCAGATTAAAGGCTCTACGACAAAAGGCTCTACGAAAAACTGAAAAATATCGCCCGATCTGAAAACCTTGGTTATTTTAACTCCCGCGAAGCCATTATGAAATACAAGAGTGTTTTATACCTACAAAAAATCACTCTTGATCATAGTCTATATCAATTATCAAGATACGATGGTCTCATGGAAACGGAACAGAAGTCATTGTATTATGTTTTTGTCTGAGTTTATGTTAATTTGTGCACGGTCACGGTGATTGAGTTCATTGTATTTTCGTATAATTAAGTAACCGTCCAATCTGGGATAGCTGAGATGAAACGTGCAACCACGATGAATAATATTTAATGAAGTTGAGACAATACATTTGTGCACGGTGAGGTACAGTTCAGCATAAAAGTCTTCTATTTTGTAGCTTTGAAGTTTTCCGGGCTCCCAGACCATCATATCTAGACAGACTATCGAAATTTTTCAGTTTTTGAACGTAATTCCTCACTTTTAGTGATTAGATTGATCACATACAGTCCATATTATTCTGTATTCAGTTCAAATCCATCATAGATAGTCCATTAAAACACAACATTTTGCTGGTGTTCCCGTGTGTTTTTTTTTAATTAATGAACTTATTTTTCACTTGTCAGATAACTTTGCTTTCTATTGATGAAATGTTTTTAAAATTTTCTTACTTTGAATGACAAGCGCCCAACCGTTCTATGGACGACCAATTTTGAATTTGAACGGTCACATTTATTTAATAGATGGCCATTAAAGGCCTAAGAAAATGTTCTCTTTAAACAGCAACTCTCAAACTTTATGATATTTCCAGTGAGTTCCATACATATGATATCTGGAGCGAGAATTCGAGCCCAAAAACTGAAGCCAGCTTCGTGTTAACCGCGCAGTCAAAAACAATCGAAAGGGACTGGAACTGACGTCCAATAACTCCCTTCAATTTCCGCCTCCTTGGCTGAGGAGTGTCCCGAAATTTCGTATTTTGACATCGATTTAAAGAATAACACTAGGGTTCTATGAACTGACAACTCGGTTTGCGATACAGTCCGTTTATTAGAAAAAACTGGAATAGTTGGGACAATGGTATTAAAACTGTTTACGACTTTCAGAGCTACTGGACGTCAATGGCCGCCATCTTGGCTTCACTTTTCTCATAGGCCGAATGACTGACGTTTTTGCTCCAGATATATATGGAGCTCACTGGATATTTCTTGAATACCTCAATATAATACTACATGCTGGGAATTGTTCTTTGCGAGTTTGACGCCTTACCGTGGAGTAAGAGGAGTTCGACTAAGGAAGCTGCCTTTCTTCTTCATTGATTTGCTGCCTGGAGTTCCTCCACTTCCAGCTGGACCGAGCATGCTGGCACCAGGACCTAACATTTAACAAAAACAAAGAATAAGACCAAACGTTTGTGACTGGCTCTGATAAGATGCTCGAGAAAGGCAAACTTTCTGTCGGGCAACCAGGTATTAAAATCTCTTGACTCGTGTCCCGTCGGGCAGCCAGACATTAAGCTAAGACCAGGATTAATAAGTAAACATATTTTGAAAGTCTTGCTATTTCGTCACTATATTTATAAAGCTTAGGATCTTAAGGTTTGTAATCCAAGTGAGAATATATACATTTTAAGACCTAACCAGGAACGACTGCGAAAAATGCAGCACAAGGTCCTCTGGTAGGAATTGAACATACGGCTCTGCGATTCCACAGCAGCGCTCTAACCAACTGAGCTAAAGAGGCCAGCTGTTGAGCTGTAACCGTAAGCTCATGTATATATAGGTAATCGGGTGTGCGAGTTGTGATAAGGTGGATTTCAATGACTTAGATTCTTGCACTTCACTTGGTGGAATTAATATTAGGATCTTAAGGTTTGTAATCTAAGTGAGAATATATACATTTTAAGACCTAACCAGGAACGACTGCGAAAAATGCAGCACAAGGTCCTCTGGTAGGAATTGAACCTACGGCCCTGCGATTATAAAGCTGCATGTGGCAAAAGATTTGTTGTCAAATGTAATGAAATTGAACAAAAATCGATGATGGAAAGTGGTTTTGATGGCCTATCCGATAGCTTTTGGTTAAGAATTGTCCCATTTGTTACTTACGCGAAGTGCGAGTTTATCGAGAATAGTAGTAAAGGTGATAAAGGTTACTTTATCGTGGTTCGTTTTTCACCTAAATTGGAGATGGTTTTGGGCAACCAAACGTTTGTTCTAGCCTTTAGGTAATCTCATTTTTCAAAGTCTTGAGTGAGGAATGGTTGCAGGCAGTTCTAATTAAATACTCATGTAATTGATTATATACAAGCCTGAAAATAAGCGGCCGGTCACGGACATTGTCCGGTACGAAAAGATCATTGTCCGGCACAATTGGATATTTGACGGACAGTTTGTCCGGCAGTATATTAATACAACTATTGGTGAAACTGTCTGTAACTGGCATTAAAAAAATTTCGTTATATTTCAAAATATTTGTTACTAAGCTTTTCATTGGCTTCTTTTATTTCAAGGACCACGGAAAACTATATTTGCTCTATTGCGTTCATATTTTTTGTCAGGCACAAAATGTCTAGTGTCAGGCACCAATCATTTGGTACCTGACACTTTGTCAGGCACCGTTGGAAATTTATTTTCAGGCTTGATTATATATCAAATGAACTGTTACTATAGTCAAGATATACGTGGTGGATAAAGTAAGTCAACTTCAGGCGTTGTGACTAAAATATAGATCTGACAATTTATAAAGTATATGTTGGCCGAACGTCGCAGATCTACAGAATATCATTTGCAATAGCTCTCCCCCCCCCCCCCGGATTGTTCACTCTATCTGCATCAATCGTTCTACTATAAATAGTCGAGACATGCAATGAGTTCACATGACCTTTGCACTAGAAAGTATCATTGGACAGCTTTAAGCCAGAATTTTGTTGCGGTGTAAATTTTTTTCTCGATAAACCTAATATCTAACACACGCGAACTTTCTAAAGTTGAATTACCTTTCACTTGTTGGAGATTGTCAATATTTAATATTTAACAGTTTATGGCATACCTGAAGCTAATTAATGCGAAAGTGTCAATCAAAAAGCATGCGGTTTGTACATTGCAAGAATTTGTGTGATTGTGTTGAGACGGGGCGAGAATAAATATATTTTTCATAAAAGCGTTTGAAATCTCTACTTTTAGTGAGTTGTTGTGAATATAGGAGGCAATTCACGACACAGTGGCACCTCCGAACGGGATTAATTGTGAGTTAGCTCGAATCAAGAGCAAAAAACCCGTGCTTGTTGTGAAGAATCGACATTGTGAAATAATATATTTTATATATTCTCGAGTATAACATGGATAAACAACTAAACGAACTTGCGAGCAAAGTAAAAGCCCTGAGATTTAGGCAAGGAAAAACCGGAGAAATAATGGCTAAACAAGACCGGCAAGCGTCTGAGCGTCAGCAAGAATCTATTGACAATGTCACCAAAGCGATAATCAATCTTAAAGAGACCATAGAAGAAAAGAAATTTTCCAAGGGCGAGAGCGAAGAAGACGTTGCAGAATGGGCTAAAGAATACGAAGACGAACTTGCTATAGCCGACGAAAATGTACGAAGATTGGCTCAACAAATTAAAGAAATCGATCGCCGAGAACAACACGAGAAAGCAGTGCAAGATCATAAGAAAAACCTTGAATTTGAGCGAGAATTACTCGAGCAAAAAGCTGAATTTGAGAAAGAACGCGAGAAAGAAAAAGCAAGCGAAGCAGAAAATAGCGAACAATGTAAACAAAATTCTGCCGCTAAATTACCGAAGTTACCTATAACGAAATTTGACGGCAAATTCGAATCATGGCTACCGTTTTGGGGAAAATTTACGTCGGAAATCGAATCAACGAAAATACCCATCTTAACGAAGTTTGCCTACTTAAAAGAATTACTTAATGAGTCTGTACGTTGTGACATTGACGGCCTGCCATTTACCGAAGAGGGATACTCAAAAGCCAAAGATATTCTCGAAACCGAATACGGACAGTCAGCTGAAGTTGCGAACGCATACATAGTAAATATCACCAATCTACCGGTAATTTCAGGGACAAATCCTACTAAAATACACGATTTCTATAAACAACTGAGATATAACGTTCAAAGTCTTGATACACTTGGCAAATTAGATGATGTGAGAGGAAATGTGCGAGCAACTTTGGACAAGTTAAAGGGAATAAAAGCAGACCTAGTACGCGGGAATGAAGGCTGGCAAGAATGGAGCTTTGATGATCTTCTAAAAGAGCTGAAAAAGTGGAAAGATATCAATCCGATCGAGAAAAAATCAGAGCCAAAAGATCAACTAAAAGGCGGGAAAGGTTCAAGATCGAAGTTTTTCCATGCAAAGGATTCGGGACGCGACATGCGAGAACGAGGTTGTGTGTACTGCGAGGATACCACGCACAAAGGCACGAACTGCCCAAAGGTTGTAACAAGAGAACAAAGAAAAAAGATTCTGGCGGAAAAGAGACTATGCTTCAATTGCACAGGAAGTCAACATCGTGCTGTCAACTGTAAAAGCAAACTCGGATGTCAGAAATGTAACAAGAAACACCATACTTCAATCTGTGAGCAATCAGAACAACTCTTAGTGACTGGAGGTCATATGAACACGCGCGTTACGCACCCAGTGGTTATAGTCGAAGTTGAAGGTGTTAAGTGCAAAGCCCTGCTCAACCCCCGGAGCAGGCAGTTCTTACGCGTCGGCAGCACTTTTGGATCGCATTCCAAAGCGGCCGTCCAAGAGAGAAATACGAAAAATTGATATGATGCTCGGCGTGACTACGAGGGAAGTCGAATTGTCAACCATTGAAATCAAGGGAACATCGGGTAAATTTTCTATGAAAGTCGAAGTCACCAAGGTGAACAAAGGAGAACTTGTGTTCATAGACAATCCGAGATATCAGAACATGATAGAGCAAAACCCACACTTGAAAGGAGTCATCATGGAAGACATTGATAAAAAAGAGCGACTTCCGGTGCACATCATTCTCGGAGCAAGTGACTACGCAATGTTGAAAACTGATCAGCCACCCAGAGTTGGTAAATCGGGGCAACCGGTAGCTGAGTTGACACAGTTTGGATGGACCATCATGTCCCCTGGAAAAGAATCCTGTGACGTGACCAATATGCTTTTGACTCAAACATCCCAGGCTGATTACGAAGAACTGTGTCGCCTGGATGTCTTGGGTTTGAAAGATACACCCACCAACGACCAGCACAGTGTATTTGACGAGTTCAAAGAACAACTCGCCCGGGACCCAGCTGGTTGGTACGAAACAGGGCTACCGTGGCGCGGCAACCATCCTGTATTACCCAACAACGAAGCTAATAGTTTGCGACGATTAGCAAGTTTAACGAACAGACTCGAGCGGCAAGGTTTGACAACCAAATACGGGGAGATAATGAGGAACAAAAGGCAGAGGGGATAATTGAGAAAGCTGAACTGCGGAGCGTAGGAAGAGAATTCTACATCCCTCACAAAGCAGTTATTCGACCTGATGCAGAATCCACAAAAATCCGAGTCGTATATGACGCTTCTGCAACAGCACAAGACCGTGTTCCATCGCTGAATGAGTGTCTACATCCGGGACCTCCATTGCAAAATAGAGTGTGGGATGCGTTAGTTAGAGGACGGTTTCATCCAGTAGCTCTGACGGGTGACTTGCAAAAGGCCTTTTTGCAAGTACGTATTCGCGAAAACGACCAAGACGCGCTTCGATTTCACTGGCGGAAAGATCAGCAATCAGAACTAGAGACCTTGAGATTTACCAGGGCACTTTTCGGGCTTGTATCATCTCCTTTCTTGTTGGGGGGAGTCATTGATGCACACCTGAGTAACTGGGAAGAAAGAGAACCGGAAGTAGTAGCAAAACTGCGTGAAGAGTTGTACGTGGACGATTTGATAACGGGGTCAACATCAGTATCGGAAACGGAAGAAGTTAAAGAGAAAGCAACAACTATTTTCGAGGATGCGGGGTTTAAGCTTCACAAATGGCACTCGAATGAGCGTGAATTAGAGATGACACAGTCTCAAGACGGTGATCCTACCTATGCAAAACAGCAGTTAGGGACCCCAGAAGGGGGAGATAGTAGCTTGCTCGAACTTGCGTGGAATAAAGAACGAGATACAGTCGCTGTTACAATGCCCACTGAAAAGACGGTGTTCACCTTCGGGCTTCGTATCTCCTTTAACGCTTACGGGTAAACTTATCTACCGTGCAGCATGTGACACCAAGAATGCCCGGGATGCACCACTTTCAGAAACCCTCGCAATGTTGTGGAACAAGTGGAACAGTGAACTTCCAGTACAAGTGGAACCTGAGAGATCTTTGGCAGTTTATCAAGAGCCAATTGAAGCCATCCAACTGCATTCCTTTCGAGATGCGAGTGGTAACGGGGTTGCGGCGTGTGTCTATGCCGTAGTTGAGCAAGATTCGGGGACCAACCAAGGCCTAGTCGCGGCGAGATCAAGACTACCGAAGCGAGGATTAACGATTCCGAGGCTTCAACTGGTAGCGGCGCATGTGGCAGTCAACTTGGCTTCAAATGTAAAGGAGGCATTGATCGGATTTCCAGTTACGAAAGTTCAATGTTGGTCGGACAGCTCGGTAGTTCTGCATTGGATTACGTGGGGCAGGCAATTCGAAAGGATGATTGCGCTCGTGAAAGCAGCGTTAAGCAAGACCATTGGAAACGGTTTCCTGCGATGGAACGAGTTAGAGGAAGTATTGCTTGATGTCGACGTGGCGTTAAATAACCGTCCATTATCGTACGTGGAGGATGACGTGCAATTTCCAGTGTTAACGCCAAATTCGATGTTGTTTCTGAATAGTTATATTTTACCCGAATTGCAACCACATAATATTGAGGACGGTGACCTTAGAAAACGAGCGAAACACTTGATGAAATGCAAAGAAGCGCTTTGGAGATGGTGGACCCAGGAATATTTGCGTGGCCTTCGTGAGAGACATCGTTCGAAAGCGGAATGTAGTGGAGCAGTGCCAACGGTCGGAGACGTAGTGATTATTGCGACAGATGAGAGAAAACGTGGTCGTTGGCCGTTAGGAATTGTCGAAGCGCTGATTGTGGGAAAAGATGGGAAAATCAGGGGAGCCAAAGTACGTACAGAGAAGTCTCAAATTGAGCGTGCCGTGCAGCATTTGTACCCACTAGAGCTCTCGGTTGACAAGAAAGAACCAGTACCGGCAATACTCAACCCGAAAGCGGAGACATTTAGACCGAAGCGGGATGCTGCAGTAGCGGCCAAATTGCGTGTTCAGGAGATCGCGGAGGATGAACAATAGACTTAATTTCAAGTGAACATTTGGACACTGAACTGTGAACAGTCAGAACGATTTAGAAATATACTAAGGTTGACATTTTAGTACAGTTGTATCATTGGTCAATCTCCAGATGTATTGGACATTTATCTTAGCCTGCGAACAGGCCCTGGGTTGCGGGCGGCGCGAAAAATAGAGGGCCTGCACGGATGATAGGTTTTCTTGGTAGTGGCGTTCGTATAGAAACGCAGGCTTCTGATTGGCTTACACTCGTTGACAAAATTACTAAAAATAGCAAATGTCAACAACAGCATTTTGAAGAATTTGAACTTTATTCATTTTAATATTATATATTATAGGACTATCGAACAAATAAAACTAGAAGTGGAGACCAAAAGCAATAGCAAAGCATCACAGCAAAAAAGTCTATCATAAATGACTTGAATCTATCGCTTAAATCCAATATACGAAACTATAACAGTATTCTGAACTTCGTCTTCGGATTGACATCAGACTATAGTATAGTACATTTTGAGGTCGTCGTGGCTTCACGGATTATTCTCATTAGTGAGCAAGTCAGCAAGCGAAGGCATGCAAAAGATACCCAAATATGTACGAATAATTATATTGTTGATCCTCGCTGGCATGTCATTTAGATAAATATATATCGTACATTAAACGTTGTACTATTTGATATTTGTGGTGTTACTCTGAGTGTATATCCACACCGGGCGAGCTTTGAAAATATGCCCGGCCACGGTGGGTTTCGAACCTACGACCTTTGGAATACTAGCCCAATGCTCTTCCAACTGAGCTACGCGGTCAGGACGGTTCGAGTAAGTGATATTTCGGAACAGAATCTAGTTCCTTCTATACCATTGTATTCTAGTAATATGAATTCTGTTCCGAAATATCACTTACTCGAACCGTCCTGACCGCGTAGCTCAGTTGGAAGAGCATTGGGCTAGTATTCCAAAGGTCGTAGGTTCGAAACCCACCGTGGCCGGGCATATTTTTCAAGCTCGCCCGGTGTGGATATACACTCAGAGTAACACCACAAATATCATATTCACCTGAGTACACTACACCACCACAGAAAAAAAAATTCATGTTGTACTATTTGCTGTATATTAACTGCTGACAATTTCGTCGTCGATACGGCTTCCACTATTGGCACACTCGTGATTTCGAAGAAATTAATAAATACATGCTCATTTATCATTTATTTAGACCACAGTTAGTAAAATTTTAGACGTATGCGGTATTCCAAATCCCAATCTATCTGACCGTATTTTAGTAATAGCTTCAAATATTCAGAACATTGTTCTTTCAGTCGCACATAGTACAAGTATTACTGTACATTCAAAGCCAATGGTAGTATTTTATTCGGCTTTATATTTGTATGTGTATTGATATCTATTTAATATTTGAATTCTATGCCTTTCCGAGTAATATATTGTGCGGCTAATGTTTTGTATTATTGTTCATGTTGCACAATGTGTGACAATGTACACGCCTTGCGTCAATTTGACAGTTGACAGTTTATTTATCGCAGTCGACGCTGATTGGTTAGCGTTTAGCAGATGCGAAAAGGGGATGATTGAATAAAACGCATGGTTCCGTGCAGGCTCACCTTTCTCCCAGTGAGCCTGTTCGCAGGCTACATTTATCTCAAATAGTAGATAAATGGGGGGAGAGTGTTGGAGATTGTCAATATTTAATATTTAACAGTTTATGGCATACCTGAAGTTATTTAATGCGCAAGTGTCAATCAAAAAAGCATGCGGTTTGTACATTGCAAGGACTTTGTGTGATTGTGTTGAGACGGGGCGAGAATAAATATATTTTTCATAATAGCGTTTGAAATCTCTACTTTTAGTGAGTTGTTGTGAATATAGGAGGCAATTCACGACAATCGCAAGATCTTGAATTTTTTTCAGAAAGTCATACAATATGACGTCATATTGAGAATAATTTGCGTATAAATGTTAAATATCCCAAGAACGAAACAACTTAAGGTATTTTCGGCAAGGTATCTCATTTGCCGGGCCATTCGGTGGCAACAGATCTCCCAGCTTGTTAACAAATATAGGTATTTAAGCTACCTCTATTGAGTCACCGTACTTGAAATTAAAAGTGGATAAACTAGTTGCACATTTTATGCTATAATATAGAAAAGGTATCACGTTTACCAAAATATCAACATGTTCAGAATGTCAAGATTTCCTTAGCCTTTAAATAGGATAAGAATTTAGCCATTTGTCTTCAAGTGGACTTTCCATTCCGATATTCAAATATAAAATACATAAAAAGTAAAGAGAAGTAAACAGACCCAGCATACAGTAAAAACCCGTGGATTAAGAACCAGTGGGTCTTCTAAGAACAACCAGTCTGAATGTTGGGAATGGACCTTTCCCCAAATAACTAAAATTTCGATCTAGACAAAAATTTCATTACAGCTTGAAAGAGCATCACAAAATTAGTAATATTCCAAAGTTTCGTTGCGAAATGTTGTAAAATGAGGAAAATAGAGCCTTGCGAAGTTTGCAATTTTCAGTCATTTTGCATTACAAACGGGAAATTGCAGCCCCAACACCCGAATCGGATGTCAATTTCCCGTTTGTAATACAAAATGACTGAAAAACGGCAAACTTCGCAAGGCTATATTATTCGCATTTTACAAGATTTTGCAACAAAACTTTGGAATATTACTAATTTTGTGATGCTCTTTCAAGCTGTAATGAAATTTTTGTCTAGATCGAAATTTTAGTTATAAGGGGAAAGGTCCATTACTATCAAAAGCAACAGATCCTATTGTCGTTGGCAATTACGCGAAACGGAGTCACAAATTAGAGTATT